AAAACCTGAAGTGGAGCTTCTAGAGTTGGGGTTGGCTGTGAGGTTGAGGCTGGTGGAGGGGAGCAGAAGGGAGCCAGTTCGGGCACAGGATGTGGACAGAGCCCAGACCCACCACCTACCCAGCCTGGACTGGGTGGAGGAGCAGCTGTTACAGACTGGGAGCCAGGCTACAGTGGGGCATGTGGGGCCCCCGAAAGGACACCAGAGTCTGTAGGGACTGCTGCACTGCTTCATCACTCCATCGAGACAGCTGACGTGAGAGTTGCTCAGACAGTGGCTCCAGCCAGAAACCTGGGTGACGGTGGTTCCAGGGTTTATACCCACAGGTACTTCAAGTCCTCATCAGGCTACAAGTACCTATCCTGCTGGAGCCCTGCTTCCTGAGTAGGGGTGGGGAAGAGGGCCCAAGAGACCTATCCTGGGTTTGGGCAGCCAGGGCTTGAGGCTCTCTCCAGGAGGCAGGGGTCCCTTAGCAGGGAAGGGAGACCCCAGGATCACTCTTCCTTTTGCCACAAGCAACTGACCCCGGACAAGAGCTCCATATCCCATCTGACCCCTTAGTTCAGCCCAACTCTGTAGTCCCTGCGTGAATCTTAGGAAAGAGTTAGGGGACAGAGGGAGAAGACCCCACCTGGACCCCAACTCCTCTCAGCCCAAGATGCAGTGGTGGAGGAGAATGAGGGAGAATGCATAGTCCAGAGAGCCAGCACAGAAGCCAGGAGTGGGCTGGCTGGCAGCGGGTGGGCAGACGGGCGTCTGTCCTGCCAGGGGCCCAGGCTGGCTCTGCAGACAGCCTCTTTTCTATATGGAAATGAAGAATTTAGGCTAATGGAGCTCAACCATCTCTAATTTTGCGATGGCAGGAGGATTTTGATTGAAAGTAATTAAGCAAGCTAGCTGTAAAATTAATTAAAGCAAAAGGGGGGGATTTTTTATTGGATTGGATAGCGATATAGCGTCTGTCAGGCGGGGGACGGATGGGGGTGACCTGAATCCTCTGCCCTCCCCCCTCCCACTCGGGACGTTTATGTCACTTTAATCTCCTTACAGCGGCTGCTGTGCATTTGTTTGAAATAATCAAGGAAATATGGTCAGAAATTGTCAGCTTTCAGATCTAATTTACCTGACGGCCCCTGCGCGAGCTGGCGCGGCCTGGGGAGTGAGCGTGCGTGAGCGGGTGGGGGAGCTGAGTGGGCTCTGAGCACGCTGGAGCCGCAGCCCATGACCAGCCCGGGCTCCCTCCAAAGGGGCAGGAAGGTGCTGCCCAGCCTGTCGGCACCTCCCTGGGCTTTGCCCCTTTCTGGAACAGACTCCCACCCCCACCCACCTGCTGCCTCTTCCTCACACTGTAACCAGCTTTAGGGTTTAGGGAATATAGGATTAGGGAGGTGATTGTAATTCCTTATTCCAGATGGCTGACAACTGCTAAACCCCTCCACCAGGGCCACAGTTTTAAAAATACTCCTAAATTAGTCCCCTCATGTCCTCATCATTGGCCTCAGCAAGGGGATTGAGGAGATGGGCTGGAGGGAGGGCGGGGTGACCTGTCATCCCCAGGTCCTCTGCCACATGCTGCACCACCCCCCCACACCTGGGGCTGTGCTTACTGCCTGGGCCTCTCTGCCCCAGGTCCTTCCCCGACTTCTAGGGTAATGCTTGCCCTGTTTCCTCTTTGTAGCACACTCATGAAATCTGGGGTCTCAGTTCCTGCAAGAAGAAGGCCACTTCCCAGTGCCACAAGGTCCTACCCATTTCCAGTGGATAAACCAGGCCACAGAGCCGCTTTCCTTGGGGTATCTGACTTCCAGTCCCTGCACCCCAGAAGTTCTGGTTCAGAGCTCTTGGAGTCCCTGCCCAGGTGGGCCAGTATGCAGCCCTCCCCAGCAGGGAACCCTTGAGATGTCTGGGGTCCAAGGGCCCTGGAGCAGTCTCTGAGGCTATGAAAAATTCCGGCTTAAATGGAAATGTGTAGCAGTCTGATCTGCTGGGCGTGAGAGGCCTCCCAGTGAGAATTGGGTCCCTGAATCTGTCTAATGCTGACCAGTGAGTGACCCCAGCCTTCACCAGACCTGTCCATCACCCTTCCAGTTCTGAAGTTCTGTATAGGTCTAGGACAGCCTCTGCCCTGGTAGCTGTTCCCTTATACAGTCAGTTCATGGGACCTGAGGGCAGGCTGCCTTTGGGGCTTGCACACACCCCTGGGACAGGGGAGAAGGCTGGGGATTGATGATGGTAAGCAGCCAGCTTCCCATTTGCCCACTGGAGAGCATACCCACTAGAGGCCTCCATCCCCACCTGCCCTCCTCGGTACCACCCAAACACCCTCTGCCTTGTCCTCCACTTTTGCCCTTGAGGGAACCCCCCCCCCCCGTCCCCAGCCCACTGTGGGACAGGGTGACTCAGGCTGCCTCCTCCGGCAGCAGTGAGGGAGTGTGAGCTCCTGTCTGTCCTTCCAGCCTCACCCTCAGCACAGCAGCTGGAGGCAGGGGAAGCAACACCTGCCTGCTCCTTGGGCTCTTTCATCCGCAACCTCCTCTCTCCCTAACCATGAGTCACTCACTGTTGGGGTTAGGGGATGCAGCCCCAGAGAACTCTACCCAAAAAAGAGGGAGGAAAAGCTACCTCAGGGGATAGTTGCATGTACCCCAAGGCCAGGGGGCACTGAGGTCTGTGGGGCCCTGCTGTACTCCCCTGCTCCCTGTGCCCACAAGTGCCTAGGCCATAGGCAGCAGCATGAGGACCATAGGGACTCAGCCAGAGACACTGCCTTTTGTTCCCATTAACTACCCAGGACCCAGATCCCAGGAGACAGGAGATTAGAGGGAGTGGTTTCAGCTCAGCCTCTCACCTCCATGTGTGGCTCACAGCTGCTTTACCTGTGCTGCTGGGACATAGAGGGACCAGCTGGGGGCCTGCACCAGGGCAAGGAGCTTATTTCTGGCTTGCTCTGGTAGGTGCTGAGGTAGAGGGAGACTCCTGCAGAAGGGACCCCAAAGCAGGCTTTGGCATGGGGGAGAGGGGGAAGCCCAAGGGGAGAAGGGGCCTCCTCATGTCCTCCTAGTGTCCCCAAGACCACCCTCTGCCCCAGAGAGAAGAGCATGAGTTGGAAATGCTCTACTGAAATCCACTTCTTGGAATCAGCCCCCATGGTGAGGAGAGAAACTGATTCTGCAGTGGCTCCTTGGAGAGGAGCAACAGGGATGGCAGTGACAGACAGAACTGGCCACCGGCCCTCGGGTGTGAGTCAGAGGACAGCCCTGGGAGGGCACATGGGAGCCTAGGAGGCTGGGAGAGGGGAGAAGTAAGAGGGTAACTTGGGGGCCTGGGGATCAAAGGCTAGCTCAGCAGTGCCTTTCTGTCCTCTGGCTGGCATGAGATGGTTCCTACCCCTGAGATAACATGTGGTGGCCTCCCTGTTGTCCCTTGTTCCTTAGCTCCTAAGCCTTTGAGGAAAAAACATACTGGCCTCCCTTTCCCAGGACCTGTCCCTGGCCGACATGTCTCTGCCTTCCCCCAGAGCCAGGGTTCTGGGCCTCTGGAGCGGAACGTGGGGGGAGAAAAGGCAAGGCCAAGGACAACCTGCCTGGCCCTGCCAACCCCCAGGCCCTGCCAACCCCCAGGCCCAGCTCCCTGAAAAGCTTGAGGACTGGGGACTTCCCCTGGCGGAGGGGGCGGGGGGCAGTCCATCTGGCCTGGCTAGGGGTTCTTTCTCCCTTTAGGTGGGCCTGAGGGTTGGCTGGTCTCCCTCTCTCAGGTCAGGGGAAGGCAGGCCTTCCTGAGTCCTCATTCATACTTAACGAGGACCAGTGGCTTCAGGAGAGTTCTCAGTGTGCCCTGGCCACAGGGGCTAGGGGTAGGGGAGGCACCTGCCCCACTGGAGGAGGAACCCAGAGTAGCAGGTGTCCAGCCTCAAGAGTCAACTGCAGGGTCTTCTAATGACAGTGTGAACAGAGAGAACATCTGATATAGCTGGGGACCTGACTCCTCCTTCAGCCAGGTCCGTGCCCAGAGTTGGCATGATGTGACTGAGGCCCTGGGCTCCCGGAAGTGCCTGTGACCAGGCCGGGCTTGGCAGTCACTCTTCAGTCTCGTGAAGCCTCCCCACCAAGTCTGGTGGATTCCCTGCTCTGTAGACTTCTCCCCTGCCCACACTGGGCCCACCTGCCACCCCAGACCCCTCATCGCTTCCTTCCAGTCTGGCCTCTGTTTCTCGCCTTTTGGGTCTCAAGTCTCACTGCCCCAACCATGGCCCGTCCTCCGTCCCCCCTGGCTTCACAGTCACATTTTGCTGCCAGCGCAGGGCACTGAAAAACTGCTGGCACTGCCAAAAACCCTGTGTGCGCTATGACTCCCCAAACATCCCTTTATTTTTATTGTTCTGTTAATTACTGTTTAAACTTTAATAAGTCACTTCGTCAGGAGGGGGGACCTGCCGTGAGCTTTTCTGTGCAAACACGGGCCGGGAGTGACTCGGGTGTAATATAACCCTTTATGCGATGTGGGAATGTTTAGATTGTAACAGAAACTTGTTATTTTAATGACAGTTGGGGGGATCTGAGCGTGGTAAGGGAGGAGGGGTGGCGTTCCCTGTCAACCCCTCGGAGGGCTTGGGGTGGCCTGGCCCTGCCAGGGTTGCCCTCTGCCACGGCAGAGGGCCCAGCTAGCTGTGCACCCTCCTGGGCTGCCCACTCAGCCCCCTGGGCAGACTTGTGTAGAGCGGTGCCTTCCGAGGGAGGCCCAGGGCCTGGGGCAGGAGAGCCTGGGCTGGGCAGCTTGGGTGGGTGAGGGCCTGAGGAGAAAGTTGGGCTTTCAGGGATGAGGAAGCAGGAGGCCCCGGGCAGTTCTCTAGTCCCTGGGCAGAAGCAGGCAGGGTTGCGAGAGGCTGGACTCCACACCTAGCCATTCCTGACTCTGCCCAAGAGTCAGTGGAAGGTGCCCTGTGCTCTGCAGCTCTGTGCCAGACCTGTCACTCACAGCATCCCTTTGACATACTGTTGCAGATGGGACACTGAGGTCCAGTGCAGAGAAACTTGGTTAAAGTGGCAAGCTTTAAGAGGATGGCAAATCTCAGGTATTGATTTGTTTTATTTGGAAGCCACCAAAGCCCAGGTGCCCCAGTGTGGTCTCGGGCTGGACACTATCCCACAGTGGAAGGGCATGGAGGGGCACAAGTCCTTGTCAGCCATGGAGGGGCTTGGGCAAGGCTCACCCTCCATTCTCCCCTCACTCCCACCAGGAGGAGGAACTGGAAGATGAGGTGGGGTGCCCTGGTCACCATCTGCACTCTTTCCCTCTCCCAGGAAGCAGGAGCTCGGCCCAGGGCAGGGCAATGGCAGCAGATACCCTGATTCTCCTCCCAGCAGTCCAGACCTGCTTCCAGCAGACACCTGGAAGGGACCCCTTGCCCCCAGTGTTCGTGAGGCTTCTACCAGGACCTCAGGTCACCTCAGGGTCTGTTTTCCTGCTTTGTCTTCATTTGGTCTGTCTGTCCTGTGTAGCCAAGCCTCTGCTGTATTCCAGACACTGGAGTGATATAAAAGAAGGAGCCCTGTGCTCACCCTGAGGGCCTGTGACCTGCTGCTGTTAATAAAGAGATTTCAGGGGTCTTGGGGAAGGGCAAAATCGAGGGGCCCCGCCTCTGTCCAAGGCCTGCCCCGTCCAGTCTAGCCATAGAGAAAGACCCTTGCACTCTGGGCTCTCCTGCACCTTTCTACTGCCTCCCACTGAGGGCACCACATGGAAGCTGGCCCTGCCCTGTCCCCCACCTCCTGCTGGGCGGGGCCAGAGGTTCAGGGCCTTGTGCCCTGGGTCTGGAGGGGAGCCCCCAGATGGTGGTGGCAGCTCGGGCCACGAATCGCTGAGGTTTTCCTTTTCTGAGCAGTGCGTTTCCCTAAATTGTCTTTGACTGCGTGCATGGGTAATGAAAGTTTATGCCCTTGTTAGAAGGACAGGCGGCCAGTTCCAGTTAGAACTGGGGCTGTCTCCCTGCCAGGCCGGCAGCCCCCTCCCCAGCAGGAAAGAGCAGGAGGGCAGGGTGTATGTGTGTGTGTGCGCGCGCACGCACACACACACACACACACAGACACACGCACGCGCGCTTGCGCTCGCACACACTTGCATACCCCTCCCCAGTGAATAAGAAGCCTGTTAAGGGAAGGGAAGGGAGAGAGGACGGAAAAAAAGAAAAAAATTTCCATATTTGTGTAAGTTGCTTTAAAAGCATTTTATCATGTCATAAAAAAGGGAAAGTACTCTCAGAAATTGATCCTCTCCGCCAGCCCATTGGACAGAAGGACGTTGGGATGTTAATGGCCATCCTGCTCCAGGGTGGCTTATTAAAAAATTTATACATAAATGCTTAAAATTGCATAAATTATTTAAAAAAAACCAACAAAGTAAGCAATTTGAATTCCCTCTTTTCCTCCCCTTCACTCCGTCCCCCCTTTTCCAGCCTCTCCTCAGGGCTCTCCTGGTCCCCGGGCTCTGGTCCCCTCCTTGGGGCAGTCCCCCTCTTTTCTCCACTTCCTGCTGCGCCCCTGACGCCCGCCGTCTGCCCTGCCCTCCTCCGGGGTTTCCCTGCCTCACCCACAAATTAATGAAACAGCCAGCCCACCACCAAACGCTCACACGCACACGCGCTAATAAAAACACCACTAATAATGCCCCAAATCGCAAAATTAAATATTAAGGCCAAAGGAGGCGGACGTGGAGCGGAGCTGCCGCCACCGTTGCCGAAGCTGGAGCTGATGAGTGTGTCTCTCGCAGGCGTGGAATGTCACCCACACATCCTGGAGACTGGAGTGGGGAGTTTTATGATGGTTTTTCATTGATTTGTTTCCCCAGCGCAGCTGCCGACCTCTGTTGAGGGACAAACATAATCAGCACTGACGCAAATTAGATGGTTATTCGTTTTGAAAATTGACAGAAAAACAATAAAAAAGATGAAATGCTCCCAAATCAATAGATATAATGAAATTCAAATAATCCGAGAGATGAGGTCTCCATGGCAACTGATAATGTGGAAAAGAAAACAATTTAATAAAGGACAGACACACTTTGAAAACAGATTGGGCCCGGGGAGGGGGGCGGGCTGGCGGGCGGAGGGCTGGAGCGCGGGCTGGCGAGTGAAGGATCACTGTCCGTCCCAAGGACACCCGCCATAATTAAGCGAGGCTTTCGGCCCCAGAAAGTGCAGATTCAGGTTTTAATACACAAAATTATTTCAGGAGCAGTGAATCGGAAAGTCGTTTGTAATGACCTTCCTGAGAGGCCCGGGCGCGGGGCATGTTGGAGGCTGGGCGGCCCGGCCGGCTGAGTTATGGCATATTTGTGTTTTTATAGTGCGGAGGGGAGGGGGTGGTGGGGGGAGGGGGGAGAAGGTTAAACAGTATTTACAGCTCAGTTGTTTTCAGAGAGGAAAGAGAAATAGAGTTCATGGGGAGATGCAGTGGGCAGGCAGGGGGGTGAGCCAGGGAGGCCTCTGGGCAGCAGGGAGGGGAGGTAGACCTGAGCAGGTCTCCCACCTCAGGCTGCCTCACCTACGTCCGCCTCAGGTCCAGAGGAGATGCCAGGTCCGCTTCCCCTGCTCCAGTGCCTGGTGAGGCTCAGGCAGTGCGGTCTTCTAGGTCTGGGGCCTCTCTGACGGGGTGGGAGCCGAAGTCCAAGCCGTGTGGACACCCAGCTGCACCTATCAGTAAAAAGGTGGGGCATTTCCACAGCTGCCACGAAAAGTGGCTCTGCCCTTCATCCTCGCCCGCACCCTCCATTTCTCTATGTGGCAGTCGGTCATCCATCCAGATGGTGCTGCCCTTCAGGGTGCAATAGTTGAGGGCCGGACGAGCATGTAAGGACGGCATGCCCCACTGCAGTGGCCTGCAGCTCCCTGCCTTCTCTTCTTTGGTTCCCCCTTCATGCCAAGTGCCCACCTTGGACATGCAGAAGTGGGGTTCCGTGGGGCAGGTGGAGGCAGAGGCCACAGAGGGGGCAGGGGATCAAGCATCCCTGCCCCAGCCCTGCAGAGCCCCTAGCCTGCAGCAGGCAGCTCAGGCACTGGTGGCCAGGCCATGGGAGCCTTGAGACTCCCCCTCAGGCTCCGTGTCCCCTCCAACCCCTGCTGTGGGAGTGCAATTGTGTTTCAACACTGTGACCACACAGAGACTTTCTAGTTTGTGGGCTGCTGTAGATGGGCACGTGTGAACACGATTGTACAGAGATCCCTGAGTGTGTGTGCACACAGGCATACACACCGTCTGTGTGCTTTTGCTCGGTGTGTGTATGTTTTAAATCTCCCCTGGGTGGTAACTCTCTTTTTTCTCCTCTTCCTGTTTGGCTGTGACCTGGGGGAGATTGATAGCCAGCCTGTGTGGTGGATGCTAACAGTTCCCCTGATTTATAGAGTTACTTACGCTAAGTGAGGCCACTTAGACGCGTCTGGATAGTAAACCTTTTAACTGGACTAAAAAATCATAATAAATAAATAAACAAAGGGGGGTAAGCTAGGGCCCAGTGGCCAAGCCCTGCCCACTCCCCAGCTTAGAGCCCTTGAGGACCAGGGACCTGCCTGAGAACCCCAGGGGAGCAGTGGCCATTCCTCCCTTCAGAAAAAACTCAGAGGCCCTTCTGTTCTGAGCTGGAGATGGGATCAGGAAGGACCCCCTCTCCCAGGGGGCCTCTCAGGGACAGGTCTTGGTAGGAAATGAGGGAAGGGAACTGCTCAGCTGGAGATGGGCTCTGAGGGAGAAAGCATGGGCCTAGCAACCTTCCCTTCTGCTCTTGTGGCACCAGTGCTCCATGTCAGGGAGATGGTCTGGTAGTGACTTTTGAATATTGTTGCCTTGTCTGAACTGCATAGTCCCTGATGTAGGAACCAGGGTGACGTAGGACCCAGGACTGCCTGTCTTGCTCACATCGTAGCCTCAGAATTCAGCCCGAGCCTGGATGGAAGTAGGTGCCCCATGCGTGCCACTGAATGGGGGCTTGTGGTCTGTGAGGTTCCAATCCTCAAGTGCAGCAGGATGGGAGCTCCCCTAGGCACCCTGAGACTCCAGGATGGCCACTTGGAAGACCTGGAAGGCACCTTGGAAATCTGAACTTGGTGGGAGCTGGCTCCAGCACTGACGGGACAGTTGCCAACCTCATTACCTCTGCTGCCTCACCTGGAAATGGGGACAGGACAACTGGCCTGCAGGGATGCTGGGGGATCACCAAGGTGACTAAGTGCCCAGCATACTTTCTGGCACAGACAAGGTGCTCAGGAGGCACCAGGTGCCATGTGCCTGTAGATGCCATGGGCTAGCTCAGCCACCGGTGTCCGGACAGTGTCTGTGGCCCCCAGAGCTGCCTGGCAGTAGGCAGGCAGAGCCAGGTGCACCCCCACCCCAGGGGACTGGCTCCTGGCCTCTGCCTCCCTTCCTCCTGATATACAGCGGGCATTAGGCCGCCCAAAGGGGATCCTGCATCCTTAGGAAGAAATATGTCCTCATTTTTCTTAAACACCGTTTCCACTGAGTGAAATGTTTAGAAGGGACGCGCAGGGAGAACTTTATTTCCTACCAGGGAGTTCAGAGCCACCAAGCAGAGCCCATAAAGCACCCGGAGCCTGGTAGCTGACAGGCAGCCCAGCCCTGAAATACATTACTCACGGTGGGGAGGGGCTGCCAGGCCTGCCCAGACCCCTGGGACTGCCCCTGCCCTGGCAAGACAAGCAACTTCAAGACCCAGGGCCATGGGCAGTGGGCACCATGCCTCTTCTTCCCTTGAGCCCAGATTGCCTGCAGGAGAGGGCCTGGCCTGACCAGGTGCCGAAGGAGTAGTTCTTCCAGCTTCCCACAGGCCTTTACCTCCCAGGTCAGGAAGACGTGGGGACAAGGGGCCCAGGTGCAGCTACAGGCACCCCCCTTTCTCACCCAGAACTGGCAGGAGCCCTGGCCTTCCCTAGCCTGTGCAGGGAGTGATGAGATTCATGCCATAACGGGTCCCTTCTCCCAAGGCCCTCCCTTCATTCGATTTCTGAAGCTGGCTGATTTGAATATTTATAAATATCAGTAAATTATTTATTGTAGCAATCTGCTGCACCATTTTACCCATCGCAGTTAACACTTTAGGGGGCTCTGTGTTATGGGAACAGGAAGTGGGGGTGTGGAGGAGATGGGGCAAGGGAGGGAAGGAGCCCCTGCAGGGAGGCTTGGGACTTCCCAGAGCTTGCCTCGGAGCCTTCATGGGGATGAGGCTGAGCCTCAGCTCCAGGTATCTACAGCCAGGATTAGCTTCCTCCTCTGTCAAATGGGTTGGCACAGGGCTCAACTGGATCATTTTTGAAGCTTTGGTGAGATTGTGATGGACAGTCAGTTTTTGCTTCTCTCTCCTGCACCTTAGTTGGGTCTGCTCAGCTCAGAGACTGATGGGTAGTGCTTGTTGAGTTTGGAGGCCTGTAGGAAAGCCGAGGGGGCCATTTGCTGGCGCAAGGGAGAGGGCTGCAAGGATGGCCCCAGGCCTCCTGCCTCTCCTTTCCCTCTTCCCTCTTCTGGGCCAGGTGAGAATTCCTTGTCTTGGAATCTTGGGCCAGACATGGCACCACATCTGCCTGTCATTCTCCTCCTGGGCTCAGCTGTCTTTTCCCAGGTCCTTCCTTGCCAGGCCCTGTGCTTGGCCCAAGGAGGCGCCTTCTCACCTTGTAGCCCGGCAGCCCTTCTGTGAGAGATAGCTTGCCAGGGCCGGTAGCTCCCAGGGGTAGAGCCAGGCTATATGCTCCTGACTCTGACCCAGGGGCCAGACTGTAACCTGCTGTGCCTTCTGGGGTTCAGAGCCACTGGGGCCAGGAGCAGAGTTGGTGCTTTGCTGGGCCCACCTCAGCTGCCCCTCCTGCCTGCCCCCCAGTCTGCTGGTCCCTGGGGGAGCAGAACAGGAGTCCTCTTGCCTTCCCACCCTCCTGCCCAAGCCTGCCTCCTGGGCAGTATTGTTCCCAGAGGAAGTGTCCAGTGTAAATAGAGCAGCGGGCAGGCTGGTGGCGGGAAGGAGATGAAAGGGGCAGTGACAGGGCCGGGGACTGATGGCTTCCTTCCATTGAGGCCTGGCCACGCCGTTTATATTTTAGGGAAGAAAGTCAGGGGAATGTTTACATGGACAGGAGTCTGGGGTCAGACCATGGGGGTGGGTAGTCTGGAGGTCCCAGGGCCTTTGATGGAGGGGCCAGCAGCAAGGCCCCACGGGGTGGGCCGGAAGGCACAGTTCATACATGCCCTCCTCCTGCCATCCCGGCCTTGCACACATTGGCACTGACAACCATCAGCCCTGCCTCTGCCTCTTGCCCGTGTCCCGGGCCCAGGTGCCGTCTCCACCTCCACCCTTGGGACCAAAGTAGAGTCAGAGGGAGGGCAACATCTGGAATGCAGGTGGGCTGGGTCAGAACAGCAGCTGGAGGGCAGGTGTAGAGGGAGTCAGCAGGAGCAAAGGGGCCTGGGGGCTGGAGGTGGGCCCGGTGCACAGCTGCATCACAGCTGGTGGGGGCCCAGGCTGGGACTGAAGGGGCACATGGCTGAGATCGGGAGAAGGTGGGCTGGGTTGGGTGAGCCGAAGTTCAGGGAGGCTCCAGGATGGGTGGGAGCCCTGGGAGGGGGTGTCACTAGCAGCAAGTGCAGCCTTGGGAGCTTCTGCTTCCCTCTTCCTTGGGATAAATATTTATAGATTCATTTGCCGTCTGCCATACACACTTGGCTGCTTACCTCTTGGTAAAAATAGAGCAGGCTCCTCACTCCCGCTCTTTTCTTCCCCGTCCAGGGCAAGGGACAAGGAGGACCAGGTGAGGCTGCTCCCCCTGAGGCTGTTGGAGGAAATGTGGTGTCACAGACCCTGCTGGCCTGCCGAGCAGTTGAACTGGGTGGGGTTGTGATTAGGGGCCCTGAAGCTGAACTTTGAGAGGAACCTCATGTGCATACATAGGGATTTGGGTGCAAGCGGCACAGACTTGGAGCTGTGGACAAACATGAGTTTGTGGGCATCTGGCTTGGCCAGGGTCCAAGACCCTGGAGCCAGAGCCACAGGACTGGGAACTGGCTGAGCAGACCTTTCTCTGACAGTCCCCAAGCAAGGCCACACATTCAGCAGCTGGTGATAAGGCAGGATCTGCAGCCACAGGGCATGTATATATCAAGGGACTATTATTTGTGCATAAAAATCAGGTCGACCTGTGGGATGAGGCCCTTGGGCAGACACAGGTGTGGCTTCTTTGTGGGCTCTCCAGGATGTGGATTTCATGGTGGGCTTTTGTTTTGTTTTGGTACCAGGGATTAAACCCAGGAGCACTTAACCACTGAGCCACATCCCTAGCTCCTTTTTATATTTTATTTAGAGATAGGGTCTCACTGAGTTGCTTGGGACCTTGCTAAAGTTGCTGGTTTTGAACTTGCAATCCTCTTGCCTCAGCCTCCCAAGCTGCCGGGATTTCAGGCACGCACCACCACTCCTGGCTCATGGTGTTTGATCCATGGAGCTAAGGCACAAAGCCCTCCTGCCCCCCAGCCTTCAGACCTATATGAGACATGCCCATTTCCCTGGCTAAGGCCTGGGGAAGCACTCTTTGACAGGGACCTCCCTATGCACAAATTGAGTATGAACTGAGACGGTCACATGGCCACTCCCCTGATCCACCATGGGGTGTGGCACACGGCAGTACACTAGATGGATGGATGGCTAGACAGATGTGTGGCATCATTCGTGCATATATCCAGCCTTGTAGGCCTTCCTGGCCACCTGCCCTCAGGACCCTCTGTCCCCTGACAAGGTTTGGTTTCTAGCTGCCTATGTGCTGTGACGTCGGGAATCAGAAATTAAGCCCTTTAGCTGCAGTTTCTGGGCTTTCCATGAGGGACCTAAGCAATCCAAGCCTGTCCCAGCTGGGGCTCCTAGGCTAGGAAGTGCACTTCTCAGCTCCGGCCAGACCTTCCCAGGATGTAGGAGTGGGCCACAGGAATTGGAGGAGGAGGAGTGTGGTGCTGGGATGGAGACGTAGGAGGGGCTGCGAGGATCTCTGTGGAACAGCAATAGGAAATGGCCAGAGGCCCAGTGAGGCTGGAAAGAAGGGCCAGGAAGACCCTCACAGGGCAGGTGACTGAGGAAAAACAGAGGCTTTTTTTGGGGGGGGGTCAGGGTGGAGGTGGGGGGGCGGTGGTCCTGAGTAGCTGGGAGCCAAGGAGAAGAGCTCCGCTGTCCTGAGAGCAGACGCTGGAGTTGGTGAGGCCTAAGGACTGGGCCTGGCAGAGGTGCTGCCAGGGGATAAGATGCTCCGGTGGGGACAGTGCCAGCCAGGGTAAAAGGTTGACACAGGCTAGAAGCTGGTTGTCAGCTGACTCCTCCCCAGGGACCTGTGGTGAGGTAGAGCCAGGCCACCAGCAGCACAGTGCTTCCCTTGCCACCTTCCCTCACCACCAGCCCCTCATCTGCCTGTGCTTGGGGTTCTGCATGACACAAGTCATACCACCTCTCAGGAGCTATTTAGGGCCAAACAAGCCTAGAAAATGCTTCCAGGAACCAGGTGCTAGGAAGAAGACTTGTATTTGAAGAGCCTTTCTTTCATCCACTTTGAACCACCTACTCCGTGCCAGGCACTGTGCAGGCTCTGGGGATGGAGCGACTGGCTAGCCCAGCCCTCGAGCTCCCAGTCCAGAGGGGAGATGAGCAGTGCTAGGCCACCTCAGGACAGCATGATGGATCTGTGATCACCTGGGGAGACTGACTTGGGGGTGCAGGGTCGTTCAGGGGTAGCTGTGCTTGGCATGTGGCCCCTCATCTCTGTGTCCCTCCATCCCTACAGCTGAAGGCACCCGGTGCACTGACCCACCTGCAGGCAAACCGGCCATGGCGGCCAAGCGCAAAGGCGGCCTCAAGCTCAATGCCATCTGTGCCAAGCTGAGTCGCCAGGTGGTGGTGGAGAAGGGAGCAGAGGCTGGCTCCCAGGCGGAGGACAGCCCGCTGAGGCCCCGGGACAAAGAGCGCAGTGGCCCTGAGTCTGGGGTGGCTCGGGCCCCACGCAGCGAAGAAGACAAGAGGCGGGCGGTGATTGAGAAGTGGGTCAACGGGGAGTACAGTGAGGAACCGGCACCTGCACCCATGCTGGGGCGGATCACCCGCGAGGGCCTGGAGCTGCCTCCCGAGGGTGTCTACATGGTCCAGCCCCAGGGCTGCAGCGATGAGGAAGACCATGCTGAAGAGCCCTCCAAGGATGGCAGTGTCCCAGAGAAGGACTCAGATGGGGCAGCCTCAAAGGACAACAGTAGCCCCGGCATCAAGCAGGCTTCAGGTGGGTGTCTGGCCTTTAAGAGGCAGGTGGAGGCTGGGAAAGGGTGCTACACTGTGGGGTGACCCAGGAAGGAAGGTCCACGTGTCCAGGTGCCCACCTGCCTCCTCTTCATTCCTGCCCCAAGCACCAGCATCATGTCCAGTGAGAACTCTGGGGGTGGGGGCAGAGTAAAGGGACAGAGAAGGCAGCTTTCCAGGAGTGTGAGGGGGCAGGGGGGATTGCCCAGCATACAGTGGGTCCTTAAAAAACAACCGGTGGAGGGACAGATGGACGGATGGCCAGACACACAGAGGAATGGACAGATGGTGGGTGGGTGGGAATCAATAGGAATGAGCCTTCTGGGGGACCAAGGTCCCTGGCCACCAGTGTGGGGAGCAGTGGTTGTGGTGGGGCAGCAACATGAACCCCATGAGCTGCCAGCTGCAAGCACTCTCACTCCGAGAGACTTCTCTGAGGATCCTAGAAAAGGCTTGGTCCCCTGCCTGTGCCCCAGCATTCTCCTTCCCTACGTCACTGCCCCTGGCCCTCCTAGGTGGGAACTCAGGCCCATGAGGCTGGCCAGGCCCAGCCAGAAGATCCCCTTACACCCAGCCACCCCGACATGGTCCTCTCGCTGACCTCTTCCCATGAGATGGCCAAGGCCTGGCTTCTCTAGTGCCTACGTGTCCTTGGGACTTAGAGCAGTCTCCAGCTCTTTCTGCTCAGGAGAGGACCAGCCTGGGGTTTATGGCAGGAGAGGGGCCCCCGCTAGAACTAGGTCTGGCCTTTACTCTCGCCCCAGCCTCCTCCCAGGTTGGTGCCTGGAGCTGCACGCCTCCCCTGCCTCTCCCCTGTCCCTGTCCCCCCTGCGGCGAGGGGCGCATCTCCTCCCTGTGCGGGGAGCCCTGCACAGCCACATAATTATGCATATAAGATATAAACAGAGCTGTTTAATTATCCTTCGCCACATCAGTGACAGAGTAATTAACAAACATTGCAAGATCAATGAGGAAGAGTGTGACCTTCAGTTTCCTCTGATAGGAAAAGCCCTTGCCGTTGCCAGACACAAGGTGATTGTGCTAGGCCTGAGGAGAGGGAAGGGACAGCAGCCCTTGCTGCTGTCCCTCTGACGCTCTCTACGCTCAGCTCTGCCCACAGTGGAGGGGCTAGAGGAGGCCTCACCTCCTGAATCCTCCCTTCCTGGAGAGAGGAGCTGGAAAGGCAGGAGGCAGGGATCGAACTGCCCTGCGCCTCGTGGCCTGAGCTCTCCTTCCCTCAGCCCCAGGTGGCTAGGGAGCCAGTGGAGCCCCAGCTACCTTCCATGGCCTTGGCTCCCCAGGCCAAGAAGACTTCTCTGGGCCTGGGGGTCAGGAATGCAGGGCTCTGGAACTGCCTCTAGGACCCTGCCTGGCCCCCTCCCTGCTCCAAGTTGCCTGCCCTTCAGAGCCTTCGGTTTCCCTGCCATATATAGTGAGGGTTCAGCTGCCTCCAGCTATTTTTAGCCCCTTTCCCTGGTCCCTGAGCCACTGTATCCAGCAGCCAGAGCCCACTCCTCCCAGGCCAGGCCCCCAACCTCTGTGGCTGGTGTTCCAGACTGTGGCTGACCCACCTGCCCTGCCAGGGGAACAGCTGTCTGAGGGTTCCTTGAGTCACTCTGCCCAGCCTGGGTGCCAGGGAGCTGCCTGTGACCCTCCCCTCCTTAGCTAGTGGGCTCCCAGTCCTCCCCAGAAGCTGAGAACCCCTCCTTCCTCATTCTGCTGGGTTTTCTCTCCTGCCAGGCCCTGCCCGCTCTGCTCCTTTGGCCTCCCTCTGCCCCTTCCACTTGTGCTCAGAGCACCTCAGGCCTAGCAGGTTTGGGTGGGGTTGGGCGGAATCCCCGCTGGCATGCCTTCCTTAAGCTGTACTGTCAGGACCCACAGTCTGGGTCCTGCTACTCTGAGTGTGCCCAGGTGGGCAGGCTCAAGCTGAGTAGAGAACACTGTGTCCCCTGGACTGTGTGTCTCACTTGTCAGTATGTGCCCAACCCTGATGGAGGGCGCAACCTGCCGTAAGTGGAAGAATGAGCACCCTCTCACACATTGGAGACCACCTGTCTGCCAGGCCGAAAGGCTGTGTGTAGAAGGCACATTAGAAGGGGCCATGTTGGCCTAAGACTTGTCCCGGGGAGCTGGCTGTATCTGCAGAGTTAGGAAAAGCAGCTACGAACGTGAGCTTGTGAGTCCATGTGTGTGAGCACATGTGTGAGTGTGGTGTGTGCATGTGTGTGAACATGAGCCTGCATGTGGTGTGAACATGGGGGAGGGAGAGTGTACGTGTCACTGTGGGGAGGTCCCTCCAGGGTTCAGTGTGCCCTAGGTGCAGACAGTGGGGAGGATGGATGTGCCCAGCCCAGGCCTGCTGCCCTGGGCCTACAGTGCTGGCTGCTCCCACCTGCCCTGGTCCTTGCTCTCCCAGGTGACCCACCTTGGTGTGCTCCATGTGGTAAATCTTGGCTGGAGGAAGGGCCCTACATGAGTCTGTGTGGGCACGTTGGCACAGTCCCTGCCCTGCTCAGTTCTGTGGTTGGGGGGAGGCTGAGAAGCCAGGTCATGAGGCATCATGGGGCAAGGCCCTCATCAGCCAACGAGATCCATTTATGGGGCTCAGGGCAGTTCACCATGCCAGGTTCACCCCAACCCCACCCAGAGCATCTCTCTCAGCTCCTGGGATCTCTCCTGACTGTCCAGTCACCACCCACATCCCTACCTGTCCCTGTGCCTGTAACTACTGCCCCCACCTCAGGAGGCAGGTTGGGATTTGGCCTTCCAGTAAGATGACTTCTCTTTCATATTAGGCCAAGGCGAGAGAGCGGAGACATTTATGAAACTTTGTTTAATGTACTGAAAAGCCATCGGCCAGAACATTTAGGAAATTGATTTTCCTGGCATTGATGAACTCGTTTTATTTTACCCCAGTATTAATTACTTTTTTTTAAAACAAATTAATTTAAGAGTCGTAAAACCTAACAAGTGGGCCGAATGTCCATAGATCATGTCCTGCTCTGCCCCTCCCCACACAGGCCCCTCTCTGTGGTGGGGGCTCGCAGTGGGGGGCCTCTTGGCCCTTCCTCCCCTGATTCCTCCCAGAGGTGACCACCCCCTCCTCCTTGTAGGAGAGGCCTCCTCGCTAAGGGACTATGCGGCCTCCACCATGACCGAGTTCCTGGGCATGTTTGGCTATGATGACCAGAACACGAGGGATGAACTGGCCAGGAAGATTAGCTTCGAGAAGCTGCATGCGGGCTCCCCCCCTGAGGCGACCCCCTCTTCCATGTTACCCACCTCTGAGGAAAGCCTCAGCAAGCGGGCACGCTTCTCCAAGTATGAGGAGTACATCCGCAAGCTCAAGGCCGGCGAGCAGCTCTCTTGGCCAGCCCATGGCACCAAGGCTGAGGAGCGGGCAGGCAAGGAGATGGTGGGCCCTCTGCCTGGCCTGCGGCTGCCCAGCAACACCACCCACCTGGAGACCAAGGCCACCATCTTGCCCCTGCCATCACACAGCAGTGTCCAAATGCAGAACCTGGTGGCCCGGGCCTCCAAGTATGATTTTTTCATTCAAAAACTGAAGACCAGTGAGAACCTGCGCCCTCAGAATGGGAGTGCCTACAAGAAGCCGTCCAAGTATGACCTGGAGAACGTCAAGTACCTGCACCTCTTCAAACCCGGGGAGGGCAGCCCCGACATGGGCGGGGCCATTGCCTTCAAGACAGGCAAGGTGGGGCGCCCCTCCAAGTATGACGTCCGGGGCATCCAGAAGCCAGGCCCCGCCAAGGTTCCGCCCACCCCCAGCCTGGCTCCTGCACCCCTCGCCAGTGTGCCCACTGCTCCCAGTGCCCCCGGGCCGGGGCCCGAGCCACCTGCCTCCCTGTCCTTCAATACTCCCGAGTACCTGAAGTCTACCTTCTCCAAAACAGACTCCATCACCACGGGGACCGTCTCCACTGTCAAGTAAGGCACTCCCCATCCCACTGTACCCCAAGCCCTGAGGCAGGACACCCACTCGTACGCCCAGACCTGGGCTCAGTCGACTGTCATGCTCATGCTCACACACGCAGCGTGCTCACTCACTGCGTGCTCACTCCGGGGGGCCCTTCCAGCTCGTGCACGGTTCATGGCCCTGCACCTTCACCCCTTGCTGCAGAGCCTCACATGCTCACACAGCAGGCGCTGGTGTGCTGGTGTGCACTGCGTACCTGCTGACGTGAGTGCCAGCGAGTGCCATAACCCCTGGTTGCCACCACTGGCTTCCTTTGCCTGCTGCCATCAGAGCTGTGGTCGGCTGAGAAAGCCCCATCTGGGGGTGAGGCTGCTGGGGTTTCTGCAGTGGCCCTGGTGCCTGGGTTCAGAGCCTCCTTGGAGGAGGCAGAAAGAAGAAGGCCTTTTCAGCCTTAATTCAGGGACAGGGCACTGGCCCTGCCAGTAATATGGTGGGTGCCTGAGGCTGAACAAGACCCATCCCAAAGCCCTTATCTGCACTCCACCCTGGTAGCTGTGAACCCAGGCAGATGCAGGCAGTGCCCCCTGACTTGAGGCTATGTGCTGCCCTTCCTTCCCCTTTTCCTCCCTGGGATGCCTGATGCTTCTCAGCCCTCACCTTTTGATTCTCCCTCTGTGCCGGGGGGGTCAGGCCCTGGCTCCAGGGACCTTCCACCCAGACAGACTCTAGGCCCTGCCTGCCTGGGGTGGCCCAGCCCTCCTTAGCTGGGCTAATTGAACCTCTGCCAGGCTTCTGCCAAGGGACTATCTTAGTCCTACCCGTGTGCCTCGGAACTCTCAGCCAAGGCAAGAAAGGCGAGAGCCAGGGCAGGGAGCTCCCCACCAGCTCTTGGGCCTGCGGCTGATCGGCTGTGTCCCGTGTGTCTCACCAGGAACGGATTGCCCACAGATAAACCAGCTGTCACCGAAGATGTAAACATTTACCAGAAATATATTGCCAGGTAGGCCCCTGGGGAGGAGACTATGTGGAGAGAAGGTGGGGGGCCAGGAATGCCCAGGGACTGTGGGACCATCCCTGCACTCTCTTACCACTAGGGCCAAGACTGTCTCCTCCCAACCTCCACCTGCTTCTTTCCCTAAACTCCCCATGGAAGCTGTCCCATGAGCCCAGCTCAGACCTGCCTCTTTGCTGTGGTCCAGGCCACATGATCCTTAAGCAGCTTCTACCTCCAGGGCCAGGGTGTGAGAAGGAGCCCACAGCAAGGCTCGGCCATAGATGAGTTCAGGGTCCCCCTCCACAGCTGGCCTCTGTCGGGCCTTCACTGTGGACCCCAGGTGGAATGCAGACCACCATAATTGTCAGTTTCGGGCAGGGGTGTGGCTCCCTGGGCTGCCCAGGTAAGGCCTCACACCACCTGACTCCAGATCCATCCCCTCCATCCCAAAGGCAGCGGGATTGGCAGCAAATTCCCCTCCATCAGGCCCTCACAGCTGCTGCCTGATGAGGCGGCACATGGTGGGGGCTGTGCCCTGGCGGCATAGTTCTGGGCTCTTCCAGGTCCCTCCCATCCTCTCTGCCTCTCCTGTCCCAGTGTCTTTCCCCCTTTGCTCTCTTTGGTCTTCTCTTTATTACTGTTGCTATCATTATTATTAGTGCCTCAGCAGATGGCCCTGTTGGCAACTTCAGCTTAAATATTTATTTGCAAGTGGTCCCCCCATACATGGCATGGGTTTCTCTCCACTCCTGCAATCACGTCATCCACAGAGGGGCACAGGCAGGCCGAGGAAACATCTTCCCTGCCACTGTCACGGTTTGCTCTCCCAGGGCTGGCCCTCACCAAGACTGTAAGAGCCACACCCGGCAGTGTCAGGTCTGGAGAGCGACTGGGGTTTCCTGGAGGCAGGCAGCATGCAGGCAGCACGGGGCTCCTAGCTGTGCACTTGGCTGGAGAGCGAGCTCCCTGCCACAGGAAGCCAAACAGATGCTGTGCTTTAAAAATTCATAACTCTGGACTATTTCAAGTGTCAGGAAAAGCCCAGAACAGAGAGAGCCCTTTAACACCTCACAGCAACAGAGCCCCAGTTCACCAGCCAGGGCCTCCTCCCTGGACAGAGCTGGGCATAGTGTTGGTCAGGCAGCTAACTGTAGGAAAGGCAGTTGTGGGGACTTCAGGTCTCCTCCTCACCTCCCTGGTCTGTGTCTACTCTGGCTGTGGCTTGTGGCCTGCCCTAGCTTCTTCCTCCCCACCTGGGTGCCAGGCTTCTACTTCACCTGGCACTCACTACCTGGAAGATGCTGGCAAGCATGCAGCTTGAGGAATCTGGGATTCCTGACAGGCCTAGCCACTGGCCCTGGCATTCCCAAACCTCTTCCACTTCACCACTGTCCCCCCATATCCCCAGCCAGGCCCACAGAAACCCAGTAGCACATCTCTAGAACCTGGGCAGAGATGGCTTTAGGCCCTGGAAGAGTCCTCATGGGGCCTGGCACCCAGAAAGGGGCCTGACCCGACCCCTCTTCTCTTCAGGTTTTCAGGCAGTCAGCACTGTGGCCACATCCACTGTGCCTACCAGTACCGAGAGCACTACCACTGCCTGGACCCTGAGTGCAACTACCAGGTACGAGATGCACCACTGCACAGCACAGCGGCTCTGGCTAGAAGTGAGGCACCAGGTGCTTAGTACTCCATGGGTCACCTGAACTTAACTTGGTGGGCAGAGAGTACGGACCCACTGCCAGCCTGTGCCACTAGTAGGTTCTGCAGCCATTGGCATCCTGGTGGTGATGATGCCCATGCAGCTTCGCTGGGAATCCAGTGTGGACCAAGGCCCATTCCAGATGGCCTGTGTACCGCAGCTAGCTAACTCTTCAAGGGGCCTTCTAAGGTCGGCATCACTGCCCCACTTCAAAACGGAAATTGAGGTTCAGATAGAATGCCATTATGTAAAGACCACGACTTGCAAATGCAGAACTATCAAAGAGGTGGCATTGACAGTGTGCATAGGCTGCTCCTTCGGTCTCACCGGGTGTCTCACCTGGCTTTGCTCACAGGTGCATTGGGCAGAATGTACTGTCACCTGTCAGAGCCCTTGCCCTGAGGGAGCACCCTGTTCATCCTCTGCTTGGGCTGTGGCTGTTGGGAGGCTGGGGAGAGGCCAGGGGAGGGTCTATGGTTTCTGGATTGTTGGAATCCCTGCTGCTGAGGGAATTGGCTGGGCAGTCTGTGCTGTCCTGACCACAAGTGGGGTTAGGTTTATGAGGTGACCTGAGGGCCCTGAGGCCGGCCCCTGGCCCAGGCTGTCTTGGCATACGGGTGGGGATGAGGGCTCCTGCCAGCTTGGTACTCTTCCTGGCAGAGGTTCACGAGTAAGCAGGACGTGATCCGGCACTACAACATGCACAAGAAGCGGGACAACTCCCTGCAGCACGGCTTCATGCGCTTCAGCCCCCTGGACGACTGCAGCGTCTACTACCACGGCTGCCACCTCAACGGGAAGAGCACCCACTACCACTGCATGCAGGTGCCCGCCTCCCCGTCCTCGCCCTGAAGCCCCCCAGCTCAGGCCTTCCTCTAACCCCGACCACAGCAGCCATGGGCAGGGTCTCTGGGTGCAGGGTGGAGGTAGCTGGTGAGCCAAGAGTCACTGGGCATGCTGAGGGAGGCTCTGGGGGAGTGGGGAGCAGAATCTGGTGGCCGAGGCGGGGCCATCCCCGTGGCCATACTTGGTGTGGGGGAAATTCAGTGAGCTGTTTATACAGACCGACATTTTTCAGGCTTTAACACCAAGAGCGGCATTGCAAATGATTCCTGAGGAGGTTTTTGTTTAATTCTTTGTTTTAATGCCACACTGAGTCTGGGCTTTTTCAAGGTGTCAGGCCCAGGAGGAGCGACTTTGGGTTGCAAATAGCAGCCTCCTTGCCTCCCCCATATTTGTCGAGGGTTGTTATGGCCTCTGGGGAACAACCTGGGTGTGAGGAGGGGGGCCACCCTGGGCCTGAGACGGTGCAGGCACTGGCACAGCCCAGCCTTTGAGGGTGCTCAGAGGCCACTGGTTTTTACTCAATATGGCAACATTGTCTGCCTGGCCCAGTGCGGGGGGAGGGGCCATGCCCAGAAATCATCCACTAAGCAAGTCCCTGAGCTAAGGTGACCTCCAGGACACAGCCCCTGTCAACTCTGGGGACTGTAGAGGTAGGGCCACAGATGGGGATATAAAACCCAGCATCTGAAGAGCATGGCTCCCTCGCCTGGGCCCGAAGCCGCGTGGTCTGAAGACAGCCTGGCCCTCAGGCAGGTTCCGGTTGCTCCCTGGGCGGGGTGGGGGGGTGGTGGTTGGAGGCTTTATGCCTCGGCCCAGGCACACCTGGGGAGTTTGAGGATAGAGGTGTCAGCTGTCCCGAGAGGAGACCTGTGCCCAGCCGCCCTCTGACCTTGGCCCAGCTGTGCCAGGACTCAGATGGCTGCCCGCCATCCTGGCTGCAGGTGGGCTGCAACAAGGTGTACACGAGCACGTCCGACGTGATGACCCATGAGAACTTCCACAAGAAGAACACCCAGCTCATCAACGATGGCTTCCAGCGCTTCCGAGCCACCGAGGACTGCGGCACGGCGGACTGCCAGTTCTACGGACAGAAGACCACGCACTTCCACTGCAGGTGAGCCAGCTGTCCACCGGCACCCCAGGCTGGAGGAGGGGCAGGGGATAGCTTGCTTAAGGCCCTGGTTTGGTGTCCAGCCTGGGTTTTCTGTCACGGGGACTGCCCCCTGTGTGCCCCATGACAGACCCCCAATGTCCCATCCAGGCGTCCTGGCTGCACGTTCACCTTCAAGAACAAGTGTGACATCGAGAAGCACAAGAGCTACCACATCAAGGACGACGCCTACGCCAAGGACGGGTTCAAGAAGTTCTACAAGTACGAGGAGTGCAGGTACGAGGGCTGCGTGTACAGCAAGGCCACCAACCACTTCCACTGCATCCGCGCCGGCTGCGGCTTCACCTTCACCTCCACCAGCCAGATGACCTCGCACAAGCGCAAGCACGAGCGCCGGCATGTCCGCTCCTCGGGCGTGCTGGGGCTGCCACCCTCGCTGCTGGGCGCCAAGGACACGGAGCCCGAGGAGTCTAGCAACGACGACCTGGTGGACTTCTCTGCCCTGAGCAGCAAGAACTCCAGCCTGAGCGCCTCCCCCACCAGCCAACAGTCCTCTGCGTCCCTGGCCACTGCCGCTGCCACCACTGAGGGCACGCCCAGTGCCACCAAGCCTCCTAGCAGCAAGATCCAGGGGCTGATGCCCCAGGGCCTGCCAGGCTCCATCCCCCTGGCACTGGCCCTCTCCAACTCGGGCCTGCCCACCACCGCACCGTACTTCCCCCTTCTTCCTGGCCGTGGGAGCACCTCCCTGCCTGTGGGTGCCCCTGGCCTCCTGGGTGCCATGTCATCTGGGGCAGCAGCCTCAGCAACCCCCGACACACCTACCTTGGTGGCTTCGGGAGCTGGAGATTCGGCCCTGGCGACTGCCACCTCTGTCCCGGTGCCCCCTGCCTCCATCATGGAGAGAATCTCTGCGAGCAAGGGCCTCATCTCACCCATGATGGCCAGATTGGCCGCAGCTGCCCTCAAGCCCTCTGCCACCTTTGACCCAGGTGAGCAGGCCAGGCCCTGCCCAGGAAGCAAGCACCTTCTGGGTCCCAGAGGCTCCATCCCTGCACTCCTGTTGCAGAGCAGAGTAGGGTGGTGTGGGGGAGCCGTCTGTCTGATCTCCACCCTCCAGTCTTGCACCAAGCAGTGGCCCCTCTCTGCCTGGTCTCTGCCTCCCTCCTGTGTATTTCCTCCTCAGAGCCCCACCTGGGCCCCTGCCCAGGGAGTTCTCGCCTGTTTCTCCTGAGGCGGGAACAGTAGGCCCTCCCTCCTGGGATCCCCTGCATTCTGTTGGCTCGCTGTGTTCTCACCTCCCACATCACAGATGAGTCCCTGAGGAGAGCTGTCCCAGGCCCCCTTCTCCTCTTGAGTCTCCTCCAGATGACCTGGAGGGGGACAGGTCCAACACAGTGGCAGGGTGACTGCACCTCATACCTGGACAGCCCTCCAGGCCGAGGGACACCTCTGCAGCTTTCCCCCAGCAGAACTTACACCCCACGCTCTTCAGCATGGCAGCCACTAGCCAGGTGGCTGTGGAGTGCCCAGCTGGTCAGAGTGAAGAGGCACTGGGTTGCAGTGTGACTCATTTAAGCAGGCGCACTGGCCAGTGCTCCCTGATGGACAGTGTGGCCTGCAGCCAAGAGTGGCTTCTTCTGGTCTGGCACTGGCTTGCTACAGGGTGGCCCCTCCTTCCTCCTTTCCTTGCTTCCTTCTTTCTCCTGGTTTCCCTGGCTCCTCTCCCTTTGCTTCCCCATCTGGGAATTTGTCTTAGTTGAGCCCTTGAGAAGTGTTCAGCTCCGTCCAGGAGGTGGCTCATTCATTCACTCAACAACCCTTGGTGCTTGCTGGGTGCCTGCCGAGGGCTACCACTGAGTGGGTGCTGGGGACACACAGGCAGGAGGAAGTGGAAGCCAGCCCCGTCCTGTGGTGCTGATGGAGCAGTGGGGTGGCCCGTCCCCATACACAGCTGAAAGTGACAAAGTTGAGACGGTCCTCAGCACCTTGGCTGCCAGGTCCGGATACTCTGCTCCCATTTGAGACCATCTTGGAACCGGCCAGGACAGACAGAGGGTCCCTTCGTCCCAGCTTGGGGCTCTGCCCACACCTCCTTGAGAGTTCTAGCCCTGGAGGATAGGGAGCCGGGCCCGTTTTCCTGTGACTGGGGGTAAATGACTTCAGGAGCTGCTGGGGTGTGGGCTTATGAAGGCTGAGAACCCTTTCAGGTCCCTGGTGGGGCACTCAGATCCCAGGGGGCAGTTTAGAGGCCCCACCTTCCACTCCCTGGCCACAACCCCAACCAAGAACTGAGCCCTCCAAGGCCACCCTGGGCTCAGTGGCCAAGCTGTCAAGGACTTTCTTTTTCCTACAAAAGTCTCCTTCCCCTCCCCCGCAAAAGAAAGGTCAGGCGCAGGGGAGGGAGCCATTTTCCTGTATTTTTAATAAAATGCCACTTGCAGTCTGAAGCAGTCCTGTCAGCTGTAGCGCCTTGGGGCAGATTAATATTTCAGTCACTTGGGGATTGTGGAGCTGGGCCCAGTGGACACCTTCCTGTCAGCTTCTTTTGCCCCTGATCTGCTCGGCTTCCTACAGCGTCTTCCCACCCAGCTTCCCCTCAGACCCATCCTGGCCAGGCCTTGAGCCCCTGCCCTGGACAGCTTGACGGGCGAGGTCACACAGCTCGCTGATTGGCCGTCAGCTCGGTAGCCCTGACACAGCAGATGCCCTCTCTGGGCGTGCTCAGTGCAGGCAGGCTGTCTCCCCGGCAACAGCAGGCCAGGGACCAAGGAGGGGCCGCTCTGTCCAGATCTGCCACTTTCCCTCAGCATTAACAGAGTCTTTAATAAAAGCTTAAACGGCAGCCCCAGAAATCGACTGTGACAGTTGGTGAGGAAAACGAAGGGCCCCTGCACCCGCCCCAGCCCCCTCCTCAGCCTCCCGCCCTTCTCCAGGAGGCCCTGAGCCAGGCCAACTTTGACATAATTTTGCAGTAATTATCACTTGAAGAATTGCCACACAGGGGTAAGCGTCTCAAGCGATCACGTCAGCAGGGAGAATCGCTGACCACAGTGAGGCCTCCCCAGACCCCTGGCCTACCAGGCTACTGCCCTCCTTTTGTGGGGAATAGGGTTTGTGCCCATGTGAATCCTGGGCCCCTCTGACCCCATCTTCCCTCCCCTCTCCTGCAGGAAGCGGGCAGCAGGCCACCCCTGCCAGGTTCCCTCCAGCCCAGGTAAAGCTGGAGCCGGGTGAGAGCGCTGGCACCCCAGGCCCCCTTGAGGCCTCCCAGGACCGCAGTCTAGACCTGACTGTAAAGGAATCCAGGTGAGGTGCTGCTGGAGAGAGAAGCCCTTGACAAGCACCCTGGGCTGGACCCTGGGGTTCAGCTCGCCCTCCTGTCCAGAGCTCACCTCCTGCCAGGCAGCTGCAGCAGGCAGGGCTGGGGGCGGGTAGGCCTCTGGGTTGGTCCCACGGACGTCGGAGCTGAAAGCCCCTTGGTTTGTGTGTTCTAGTAATGAATCAAATGGCCACGCAGCCCCGGCAAATTCATCTCTTTTATCCTCGCTTATGAATAAGGTAAGAACCATCCATCACACGCCTCCTGCTCCCCCACCCCAAGAAATTAAAGCTGTGCTGGGGGGTGGGGGGGATGTGTTTGTTTTTTAATGTTTTCCCTCTAATAAGATGAGTTTGTACCATTTAAATTTTGAGGCCATTTTTCATCGACTATAATTTCAGAGCCACTGCTTACAAATTAATTTAATGAACTGGCTGAAGAAATATATGCCAGCCTCTGACACCTTTTTTCCCCTTCAGATGGAGGGCTCCAAAAGCTTTTCCGGAGCCCTCTAACTTCTCTCACCCTTAGTTATTAATGTTATTTATTTATTTTATATATTTTTTGTTTGTTTAAAAAGGGGTCAGGGAGGGGGGACTAAAGTGGGAGCACAGCATCAATTTCCACTTTTCGGGTTGAGTAATGGTCTCGGACGCCTTCCGGAGAGGTCGCTCTGGAATATTTATTTTAAATAATGCAGGGTCTTTGTAAATTATACATCATCTCAAATATATTTTTCCCCTTCACATGATAAACTTGACTGCAGCAAGATTAATTTGGTTACTGTACACAGTGATGGGGCTGAAGAGGGAGCTGGCCCAGGCTGGACCTCGTGGGGTGGGTCCCAGCTGGGCACTTGGCAGGCAGGAGCCTGCTACCTCCTCTCCTCTCCTGCTTGCTCTCTTGCTCTCGTCACTCCTCTGGCCACTGCCCACTGCACGCCTTCTTCCTTCCTGGGGAGCCTGTGGGCTGACCCCCCTCCCCAGCAGCGAGCCTGTCTGCTCTCACCCCATGAGTGTCCCTCCCTCCCCACACCTCCTTTGTGCACCTTCTCTTGTTCTCAAAGAATTCATAGGGGTTCCCCCCATCCCTCCTCCTCCTGCACTTCCTTTGAAAAACCTTCTGGCAGGAAAATAACCAGGGAGCCACGAAGTCTGGGGAAGATGGGCCACAGTGCGCACCCTGAGTGGCGGCCTCAGCGAGAGCAGCGGCTCCAGCAGCACGGGATTGCTTGGAGAGGCCCTGCGCCTTCAGGCCAGGCCCCCAGCTGTCCAGGCAGGGCCCTTCTCTAGCTGGAGCCCAGGGGGGGCCACAGATTCCCTCCTCCCTGCCCGGAGTGCTCTGGTGGTCACAGAGCAGCATGTCTGTCCTGAGGCTCCCAGAGCCGAGCTTGGCCACTGTCTTCACAGATGTCTCAGGGCAACCCCAGCCTCGGCAGCCTGCTAAGCATCAAGACAGAAGCAGAGGGGAGCCCTGCTGCAGAGTCCTCACCCTTCCTGGGCAAGGCTGCAAAGGCTGTCGTTCAGGAGAAGCTCTCAGAGCCCTGGAGAGTGTACCTACGCAGGTGAGGAGCTGCCTGAGGGCAGGGAGGGAGGGAGGGCTGGCAGTGGCCCCAGCAGCCTGCCTAGTGGCCAGCAGCAGCCCACCTCTAACTGGAGCCTCCTCCCTGCTGGCTCATTTGGCTAGGTTTGGTACCAAGGACTTCTGCGACGCCCAGTGTGACTTCCTCCACAAGGCACACTTCCATTGCGTGGTGGAGGAGTGTGGTGCACTCTTCAGCACCCTGGACGGGGCCATCAAGCATGCAAAGTGAGTGGGGCCCTGGGGGCCCTGTCATCTCTCGCTCAGGGCTCTGCGGGGCTGGATACCACACAGCCTGTTGCAATTCCCACCAGACCACAGAGCGGCTGGCTCCTCAGGAGGGAAGTGCCCAAAGGAGGATGGGCTTCCCGTCTTCCTTCCACACACTCAGCCCCCAGCCAGCTGTGTCCAGAGAACCCTGCCTGGGCCCCACTCAATACCCTAGCGCCAGCTGCTCCCAAGCCAGGACCTGTGGGGCTGGCAGCATGCCCTAGGTGCCCCTGCAGAGTGGCCAGAGACTCAGTGTGGACCCAGGGGTAGAGACCCAGGGCAAAGGCCTTTCCCATTCCACTGTGACATCTTGAGTCCCTTTGACCCAGAACAGCAAAATGAATCTGTGAATGCCATGGAGTTTAAAAGCAGCGAGCCCGGCCACTACTTGTAACTGACTCAAAACCTGTAAGCCTTCAAGACAGATCTCTGTGCCCTGAGCCCCACACCAGGCCTTTCTCACCACGTGGGCATCTTGTCCCAGCCGCTGGCCTGCACAGGAGCCTACTGAATAGTCAGAGCAAGTTTCGTGAGGCAGGGCCTACTCTCACACATATACCCAGGGAGGGGACCGCCTGGGCAGAGGCAGGGCACAGGTAGGAAGACAGAGTTAGGGCCAAGCCCAGAGCTAGGGCGCAGCAGTTGTCCTGAGGCTTCCTGTCTTGGTGGGATCACGGAGAGCTTGCTGAGCATGAGGTCCCTGTGCTGGGCCCTGGTCTTGTGATGGGGTCACACCACACCTGCAGCTCCTGTGCACAGGCAGCCAGGGAGGGGCTGGGCTGCAGCGGCCTCTTAGCTCCTCACCTGATGTGACCTCTCCTGCCCCTTCCAGCTTCCACTTCCGGACGGAGGGCGGAACAGTGAAAGGAAGCTCAGAGGCTTCCTTCCCGGCCTCTGTTGCTGAGACCAAACCTTCCTTGGCACCCTCACCCCCCCCGGCACCTCCTGGCACCACAGTCCCGGGGACCTGTCTGGAAGGACCTGCTCCCAGCCCGGCCTCGGTGCCCTCCACCCCCACCCTGCTCGCCTGGAAGCAGCTGGCTTCCACCATACCCCAGATGCCTCAGATTCCCGCATCAGTGCCTCACCTGCCCGCCTCACCCTTGGCGACGACTTCTCTAGAGAATGCCAAGCCCCAGGTCAAACCCGGATTCCTCCAGTTCCAGGAGAAGTGAGTCCCTCGATGAGCCGGGCGCCCCGTCCCCAAGCGTCTTGGGAGTGGGTGTGGCAAGGGCAGGAGGAGGCCCTGTTCCTCACCGTGCAGAGTTAACACTGGATGTCCCCACCCTCTGGGAAACGGCCTCTGGGCCACATCCTTCTAGCCAAAGATGCTGTGCTTGCCCCGCCACTCTGCCCATCCCAAGCAGCCAGTGGGTGGTGGGTAGCAGCAGTAGTCCCCAGGACCAGTTGGGATGGGCTGAGAGTGGATTCTCAGGTCTCCTGGCCCAACAGGGAGGGTCTCCCTTGCTGGCCTCTTCAGTGGCTCGAACCTGCTGAGATTGCAGGGCCAGGGAAGTCACAGGTGGGTGTGATGGGCTAGGCCCCTCCCAGGCCTGCACTCCCTGCATAGTGGCCTGAGTCTCGGGTGGAAGGGACCTTTCTCACTGAATGGTGGTGGCTCCTTGCGGCGAGAACGGTGACTTTGTATCGTAATGTGTGCGGCTTCCTGTTCTCAATAAAAGTAATAAATTGGATTATTTATACCGCCTGAGTGGCAACTGTCCTCCCTCTCTGAGCACCTGGGGCTGGGCCCGTGATTTGGAAGGGGACAGACTCCTCTCCGTCCCTCCCCCTCGCCCCCCCAGAAGTGGTGCCCTCCTAGTTTCCTGGTTGCTGTCAGAGCCCCCACCAGGGCTGCGCTCCTTGGCCAGTGCAGTGTTGCCTGCCAGTCAAAAGCTAGAGCCCCTCGTCCTCCCATAGATAGCCCCCTGCAGCATGGGAAGCAGGGCTCCCAGGTAGGGGCCTGCTCCACTCCTCTGCTCTCCCAAGCAGGCCAACCATAGGGGATGGCCCAGTACTCCCCGCCCATGCCCACCCATCATCCCTTACCACTCCCCTGGCTCCTAGGTCTCTGAGCAGGTGGGTATCATAGGCCTCAGATGACCCTAGGGAGTGCCATCAGCTGTGAGCCTCAGCAGGCCCTGACACACGTTCCCACTTACTGAGGTCCTTGGTAGCAGCACTCCTGGTAGGGCCACCCACCCATCTGCAGCCTGTCAGTCAACCACATCCAAATCAGTGCCATGCCATGCCAGCCAGGCCCTTGATGGCATCCTGCCAGGGCTGGCAGCACCATCCCTTATTTTCATTTCCAAGAAGTTATTGCAGCCATCCTTATCTATAATCCCGAGGTGTGGCCGTGGAAACTACGTGTCCCAGCATGCAACGCTCTGGGCACCCTGCATATTGCAATCCCTGTGCACCAGGCAGAACTCCTAAAAGGAGGCAGGGATGCATGCTGGGATCTGTAGTCTCTGGTTGAATCGTCCTGCTAAGCAGGAGGGCAATCTGGGGACATTTCTCTTGATTGTACCACTGGTGACAGAGGAGTGAACCCCAACACAGCACAGTCAGGACACCAGCAGGGAGGGCTTGGGAACACCAATGACCTTCTGGGCTGTGGTTTCCTTGCAGCGACCCTTGCCTCGCGACAGACTGCAAGTACGCCAACAAGTTCCACTTCCACTGCCTCTTTGGGAACTGCAAGTATGTCTGCAAGACCTCCGGCAAGGCTGAGTCTCACTGCCTGGACCACATCAACCCCAACAATAGCCTGGTGAACGTGCGAGACCAGTTTGCTTACTACTCCCTGCAGTGTCTCTGTCCCAACCAGGTCAGCGCAGCGGGCGGCCCAGCTGTGGGGGCAGGGGAGCCACAGGGCCTGGGACCAGCTCCTCCTGGCAGAGACTCTGCTTTTTGCACCCTTTTTAAGTTGGCTTCCACCAGACCCTGGAAAGGACACTGTCTGCCCCTAGGCCCCTGGAGGCCCCTGGGCTGGGGTCCAGATTGGTACTAAGTTGGTAAGGTCTATCATTTTAGTCCTAACCCCCAGTGGCAACTAAACACTATGCTGCTGCTGTGTACTTAAGATCATTCTTACCCATCTTGAAATTGGCTATTTCCCTTTTCTCCAGATGCATAAAATTTCTAAATGGGCCCATTGGATAGATAAAGAGAACTGTCCATGCCCAGACAGGAAGAGCAGATAAAATTCACTTTAAAGGCCTATCCCCAAGATAGGGGCTACCTGAGGACTCAGAGCAGAGGTCTGGGTGTGTAGAAAAGACTGGCTGGATAGATTAGTGGTGCCTACCTAGGTAGGTCCAGCTATGAAGGGAAGATAACTGGGATAGATTAGTGATGTCTGCTCTGGGTGGCATTGAAGGATGGCAAAATAACTAAATAGGATGTTTAGTGAAATGACAGAGGGACATGTTGCTTTTTGACATGTGAAAGTTCTTTACAAGATTGCATTTTCTGATTCTGGGTGTGGAAGAACACATGTGCCAAGGGCCTGCCACAGCCCAGAGTCCCAGTTCAGGCAGCAGCCCACACAAGTCCCCACCTGTCCTGATCTTCCTGTGCTTCCCTGCAGCACTGTGAGTTCCGGATGCGTGGACACTACCACTGCCTCCGGACTGGCTGCTACTTCGTCACCAACATCACCACCAAGCTGCCCTGGCACATAAAGAAGCATGAGAAAGCTGAGCGGCGGGCAGCCAACGGATTCAAATACTTCACCAAGCGCGAGGAGTGCGGCAGGCTAGGTACTAAGCCAGGGTGGGTAGGGACTTCTAGCAGGTACAGGCCAGTTGTCAAATTCACAAGGTGTCAAACCTGAAACATCCCAGGGAAGAGGACGAGAGTCACTCTGGCCTCCTCCATGCAAGCAGGATGCCCTGGAGCCTCACTGCCGGCAGTCATGGCTTAGCTTGATTCTTTTCCCCTTTCCAGAGGGCAGGCAGGTGAGCTTCTCAGGGGTTTGGAAATCACTCGCCCTGGGTTGCTTTCCATAGCTTCAACTGTAGGGTTTTGTTTAAAATGTGCCATGGTGTGTTCGTTCATTCAGCAGTAATTTACTGAAAAACAACTGTGTGCCAGTGCTATTGCAGGGACACGGGAGTGGTGACAGTGGCAGCAGCTAAGAGTTTTTGAGTGTCCGGTATGTGCTGGCATTGGACTTGGTGCTGGAAACCTGGCGAAGATGTGTGGGCTCAGCTGGAGAATCTGATTGGCAGGATACTCAGGAAGGAAGTAGCCATGGGTCTGAGAAGAAGAGGTCACCCGCAGCCCTGAGCTTGGTGATAGATGCAGAGATCTGAGCCCCACAGGGAACAGGGCCTCCTTCCGGGGATGCCCAATGGGATTGGGGCTCTAGGGTCAGCAGGCAGAGAGCACAGCCCACCCTCCTGCCTCAGGATGGAGCCCCGTGTTCATAAGCCTGTCGATGATGGGAATCATCGGGAATAGACTGGGATGGGAATCTCCCTGGGAATAGACTGGAAGCTGAAGGAAAGGCAGGAGAAGGTGTCAGCATGGACACCTGGGCTGCGGGCTACAGGCCAGGCCGGCTGTGGCCTGTGGTCATGGTTTCAGGGGCTGGTGGCAGAGGGAGGCTGCAGGCAGGCCCTTCCACAGAGGAAGGGAAAGATACTCATCAACTGCCAGAAAAGAAAGGAAACAAATCTTTCCTTCAAGTATTAATTCAAAAAGGATTCATGGCCAGGAGAGGGCTGGTAACCATGGTGACAGGTGTCAACACTCAGAAGTCCATGTTGTCGCGGGGCTCAGTTTACAGATGTCAGGGTATTCTGAAGTTGCCGTTATTTACTCAACTTTTGGTGTTTTTGGTGGTAGCTGGGGCCAAACAAAGCCGGGGGATGATATAAGACACCTGGCCAGCTCGGTGCCATGGTGACGGGCAGGCCTTCACCTGCCCTCAGCTGATGCTGTTTTGGCCCCACCTGTTCTGTTTGTTCTCAGCCTGGAGCAAAGGAGAGACATGGGGGCAGGGTGGAGGCTGGCTGCCACACCCACCAGCCCAGGTCCCCAGAGAAGGTGTTGGGGACAGGTGGCATGCTGTGGACAGGGCCCACTAGGTTTCCTTCCCACAGTATGTGGGCAGGGAGTGGGTTTGGACAGCCTTCGTAGCCTTGGACTTCCTGCAGGTGGCTGATCGTAAGCTTTCCTTGGAGAAATGCAGTTCAGGGTGCACATGCCACTGGCCTTGTCGATCACTCCCTGTGCCCAGAACAGTGTGCTCAACACACACTGGCTGTGAGCACTGGCTGGCTGGGGAGGCTTATGCAGGTGGGGGCCGTGTCCACAGGCTGCAAGTACAACCAGGTGAACAGCCACTTCCACTGCATCCGGGAGGGCTGCCAGTTCTCCTTCCTCCTGAAGCACCAGATGACCTCCCACGCCCGGAAGCACATGCGCAGGATGCTCGGGAAGAACTTTGATCGCGTGCCCCCCTCCCAGGTGAGTGCCTCAAGCAGGCCTGTGGGTGGCTCCACCAACCCCCCGGGAGGCCCTGCTGCCCCTAGCGAAGGCGGCAGGCAGCTCCTCAGGCACCCTGCTTCCTCCCAGGGCCCCCCAAGCCTGATGGATGCTGAGACAGATGAGGGCATGGACTACACTGGCTGCAGCCCGGGTGCCGCCTCCTCCGAGTCCTCTACCATGGATCGCAGCTGCTCCAGCACCCCCGTGGGCAACGAGAGCACAGCGGCAGGTGAGCGCAGGACCCCTGCCTCCAGCCCCGCTTTGCCGCGTCCATCCTGGACACAAGGTTCACAGTGAGGTAGCCCTGAGGAGGACAGGCTGGTGTGCAGTGGACCAGCTGGTGTGTGGGATGTGGGACACTGAGGCCACCTCCTACCATCCTGCCACCTCCCCAGCACTCTGCCTTGTGCTTCAGTTTCCAGGAGAGGAGCCTGGGCCTGTCCTCCAGAGTTCCAGGAAGGCAGTACAGCCCAGCCCTCCGGCCTGCCCTGGCCCCCCTCAGGCCCTGGCCCCGCTCAGGCCCTGGCCCACTGCAGCCTGGGCCTGGGGTCCAAGAGAGGCGCCCGCCTGCCAGGCCCGCCCTGACCGCTCACAGCCGCCCTGCGGCCTCCCTCCTCTCGCTCCTCTGTCTGCTCCTCTGTCCAGTGTCTCCCACCTGCTCCACCATTGGTTTCTCATTTTGGTTCTTTTTGTTTGTTTGTTCTTTGTTTTGGTTCTTTTTTTTTTTTTTTTTTTTTTCTCTGCTTTTCTCCACCTTCTCCAGGCGGCCCGGCTCCTCCTCCTCCTCCTCTTCCTCCTCCTGCTGCCACTGGTGACGAGGCCACCCGTGGGGCCCCACGGCCCCCCCTGACTCCACCCTTCCCGCCGGCTGCGCTCCGGCCGCCCCTCCCCCCCCTCCCATGCCTCTTCTCTCCGTCCTGTCTCTCATACTCTCTGCTCAGTGCCACTCTGGGAGCCAGTCGCGGCCTGGCCCACCCCATCAGCAGCCCGCCCAGCTTCCCGCCTGTCACTGCCACTCCAACTCCAGTAAAAAGTGACGTCCCCCTAGTTCAGGACGCCGCAGGTAACTCGCACACACATTCTCAGCAGTATCTGTCACCCCACCCGATCCTTGAGACTGTGGTCCAGGACCTGACCCTTTTCTGTGGCCAGCTCAGTCAAGGACAGGTGTTTTTGGTGGTAGCTGGGGCCAAACAAAGCTGCATCCTGATGGCCAAGCACTCCTGAGACCAGAAAGCCTGGCTCCTATCCCAAAGACAGCTCCTTGTGACTCCTGCTCAGACCAGAGCATTGCTGCCAGCCATTTGCCCCTGCTCAGCAACTGGTCAGCCCAGAGTAGGCATGCCAGATTCCAGCTGGCTGCTCAGGGTGGCCTCACCTTGGGCCTGGGCAGAACAGAGCCTGTCCCTGTGGCTCTCAGGTGTTCAGCTTCCCACCCAGATTCGAGGGTCTTGATCTGGCCCCACCCCTCCCTTAAAGCTGAGCCAGGGGAAGAAACCTCTGGAGCCTCAGGCCTCGGGCTGTGCTCTGTGATAGAAGCTCTTCCTGCCCCAACTCCATATCTGGAGTCCCACGGGGAGGGTCTGCTGGCCCCTCACCTTGCAGACGGCATACCACCTTCCATGCATTGTCACCTCACATTGTGCCTGAGCATGGCTTTGTGCCAGGCCCCGGTGGCTGTGGCAGTAAGTACATGGGTTCTGCCCATTGAGAGCTGTCACCCTGTGACTTCAGACCCAAGAACACATCATCCCTGGTGGATTTCCAGGCCTGAGGCTCTCCCATGGCCCCTGCCTAGTGCCCCCACCCCATTCCAGCCCTCAGTTTCTCTTCATCTGCCAAGGGTGGGTGACTGGGCCTGTTCTCCAAATCCGCAAGGCAGTAATTTGGTGCACAGAGCGGTGGCCAGGCATTCTGGCAGACTCAGAAGGGCCATGGCCCTCGGCCAGCACAGGGAGCAGCCTGGAGGATGTCCCCCTCTGGTGGGTCTGGGCCTTGGGTCCCTTATTTCTGGGGAGTGCTGCCTCCCCCCTGTGTAGCCAGTGGGTGCCTTCTGAAAAGGGTGAGGAAGCAAGCCCTTGGCAGTGGGCTCCTAAGTCCTGGGAAGCATTCTGGGCCAGCCTGGGCACTGATTGGGTGCCTGTCCTGTAGCTAAGCCCTTGTCTAGATCTGGCCCAGCGAGGAGACTCTGAGCAGGGGGTTGGTATCTTTTTGGTATTTAGTTCCTGAGGCCTGGCCTAGGAGGCCCACTAGGGGCAGAAACCTTAAGACCTTAAAGAGCCTTCTGGAACCAAGGAGAAGGTGCTCCTCAGGGCAGTTACAGCCCCAGATGGCCTAGGGCACTTGGCATCCCGGCTGTGAGTAGGCAGGTCCCCCTGCAGACAGGCAGGCAGCCCGGGGAACTGGTTTGCCCGCGGCGGGAAAGGAGCCGGCCTGTCCCTCATTAGAGGCAGGCGTGTGATGGGCCCTGGCCCCCCTCCAACTTGGGTAATTACACTCTGCGACCTAGATTCTCCCTTCAGCTTCAATTAGCACCAGGACAGGTCCTCACTTCCTACCCAAACTGGTCAGGAAGCAGCCACCACATCCCGGCAAGCTGCTTGGTCTGCCACCCAGGGATGCACGTGTGGTCGTCTGCAGGTCTGGATGACAAGGGAAGCCTGGGACTCCTTTGCTGTTCTGGGGGTGGGGAGAGGCGCCCTGGCCACCAGACCAGGGTCAGGGCCCTGTGTGAGTGTGACCCTGGCAAAAGAGGCAGCCTTCTGCACTGACTGCCCTGTGCCCCTTCCCCAGGGAATACCATCTCCATGCCCACAGCCTCCGGTGCCAAAAAGCGCTTCTGGATCATCGAGGACATGTCGCCCTTCGGCAAGCGGCGGAAGACGGCCTCCTCGCGCAAGATGCTGGACGAGGGCATGATGCTGGAGGGCTTCCGGCGCTTCGACCTCTATGAGGACTGCAAGGACACGGCCTGCCAGTTCTCGCTCAAGGTCACCCACTACCACTGCACGCGTGAGAACTGCGGCTACAAGTTCTGCGGGCGCACGCACATGTACAAGCACGCGCAGCACCACGACCGCGTGGACAACCTGGTGCTGGACGACTTCAAGCGCTTCAAGGCCTCGCTCAGCTGCCACTTCGCCGACTGCCCCTTCTCGGGCACCAGCACGCACTTCCACTGCCTGCGCTGCCGCTTCCGCTGCACCGACAGCACCAAGGTCACGGCGCACCGCAAGCACCACGGCAAGCAGGACGTGATCAGCGCGGCGGGCTTCTGCCAGTTCAGCTCGAGCGCCGACTGCGCGGTGCCGGACTGCAAGTACAAGCTCAAGTGCTCGCACTTCCACTGCACCTACCCGGGCTGCCGCCACACGGTCGTGGGCATGTCGCAGATGGACTCGCACAAGCGCAAGCACGAGAAGCAGGAGCGCGGCGAGCCGCCCGCCGCCTCGCCCGGCGCGCCCGTCAGCCTGGACGGCTCGCTCACGCTGGCCGCCGAGCCCGGGGGCTCGCTGCTCTTCCTGCAGACGGCCGCCGCCGGCCTGGGCCTGGCGCTCGGCGACGCCGGGGACCCCGGCCCGCCCGACGCTGCCCCCGCGCCGCGGGAGGCCCCCGCCGCCCCCGGCCCGGCCGCGGGCGCCGGGGAGTCCTCGCAGGAGGAGGAGGAGGAGGAGCTGGAGCTGCAGGAGGAGGAGGCCGAGGACGAGGACGACGAGGACGAGGACGACGACGACGAGGACGACGACGACGACGAGGACGACGACGAGGACCTGCGCACCGACTCGGAGGAGTCGCTGCCCGAGGCGGCGGCCGAGGCGGGCGCACGGACCCCGGCGCTGGCGGCTCTGGGCGCCCCCGGCCCCGCGCCCGCCGCCGCGTCGCCCTAGCGCGCCTCTTCCCGCGGCGTCACGTCACTGTCCCCACTGTCCCCGGCGCTCTTTAAAGAAACGCTGTCTCCACGTGAAGCCCCTGAACAGAGCCGCCCGCCCGCCCCGCCGGGCGCCCCGCAGGTGCTTCCGGACCCCGAGTCCGTCTCAGGACAGAGGCGGGGACCCCTCTGGTGCTCGGGCCGCCCCGCCCGGAACGCGCAGCTCCGCGGCGGAGGACAGGCCGCCGCCCCCTGCCCGCCGAGCGGGGTCTTCAGGGAACAGCAGGTGCTCGCCCGGGCGCGCGCTGACCGCCGCCAGCTCTTTGCTCAGGACCGGGGCGGGCGCTGGAGGCCACTGGGACCCCATCGGCCACCGGGGGCGGGGCCGCCACCTGTAGCGTCTGGCCGGGGGAGCCCCCTTCATGCAGCTAAGACTTCCCCCCTTGCCCTGGGGAAGGCGGTCAGCACGGGTGACAGTACAGGGACATGGAGGAAATCTGAAGGTAGCAGCAGGCGGGCCCTTCAGTGCGGCTGCACCGCGCTCCAGGGCCAGGCTGCCGCCCCTGCCCCTGCCCCCCACCCCCACCCCGTTAAAAAAAAAGAGGCTGTGTCCCAACCCACCCAAATGGAGCCTTGGGGACTGGGGTATCAGCCACCCTGGTGGTGCAAACAGGAAGGATGCGGCTGTTTTGGGCTTTAATATTCAAAATGGAAAAAAATACAAGAAGTTGTACAGTATTTTTCCTGTAAAGGTTATTATTCTACGTAGAGCAAAGGAAAAAAAAAAAAGACAAGCAAAAGCGGGCGGCTGAGTGCCACACCCCGCGGACCAGCCTGAGCTTGGAGAAGGGGGTGCGACTTCTCCCGTGGATGTTTAGCTTTGATTTTAGAGGCCTTAGCAGTTTGAGGCTGTCCGTCTTCACACTAGCACTGATGAGAGCTGCGTGATTCCAACTTTTAACTTGAATTTTGTAGAGACAAGAAAAATGGACTATTACTGTTGACACGAGTTTGTAGTTAATTTAACATTGGAGTTTTCCTCTGTTGGTTATGCGTGTGGCTTTGCAGGGCTTCTTGCTTGTTGTCCCAGTTTGTCTTCTTATTTTGCTCGGGATGCTTCTAGGCTGGTGCAACCCACCCAGATTCAGCCCCTTTTTCAAACCCCGCCTCCTGGAGGTTCTGAGGCTGTCAGCCCAGTGCAGGGCTAATGGCAGGCACACACCTGACCTGGCTGCTGCAGTCCCCAGACGGGGCAGGCTGCCCTCCAGCCTCTGTCCCTCTTCTGCACTTCAGGGCCCCACGGGGCCTCCGGCTGGGGAGAAAGAACAGGCCCAGCAGGCATTAGAGGGTTGGGGTAGAGTCTTATCTCCCTGAAGCCCCCACCCCAAAGGGCTTCAAGGGCAGTGGTTTTCTTTTTCCTGTGTGTGTGTGTGTGTGTGTGTGTGTGTGTCTCCTCTCAGCTGCCCACAGCTAGAAAGCCAGGACCCCCTGAGCTGGAGAGGGAGCAGGGAGGGAGGAGTAGTCAGTGCACCCGATTCAACAGGAAGTCAATTGATTTCTAAACAGCCCCTACCAGAGCCTCCTGAATCCTGTGGGCACCACGTGCTGCTGCTGAGCATTTGCCCAGGCTCTGACCTACCACAGGACTCTGTCTAAGGAGTTTTGTAAAGGAAAAAAACAAAAACAAAAAAACATTTTTCAATGTAGCAAAATCAAACAAAAAATTTAAAAAAAAAAGAAAAGAAAAACGAAGATGCCGACAGTGCGAAGTCTAGCCTTTTGTAACCTTCATATTGCACACTAGGACTATAAGCCATTGCTAGCTCATTTTGAATTTTAATGTGTAATTTTTGTTTTATTTTCTTTCTGTGGGGAAAATGATGCTTGATCCACCAATGCTCTTTTTAATGTTTTATAACTATGTATGTGTATATATATAAATATAAAATAATATGTATGCACATATGTGTGTATATATCTATATGTATATACATATATAGATATATAGAGATGTATAGAGAGGTTTTGAGACAAAAAAAACGCAGAACGTGAAACCGAACTGAACAGCGCGTGCTCTGATTACTTGAATCTGGTCTCCTCGGCACCTGGTTATTAAGAACTGAATATTTTTCCACTTGAATTTAGTGCTATTAGAAATTTAATATATGTGTTTTATTTATTTGATTTTTTTTTTTTGCATGACTGATGCAAGGTTTGACATTTTCACTCAATAAAAACTGGAAAAAAAAAATCCATCAAGTTATCTTTTATTTTTAAAATCGCCCCCAAGCGGCTGGCCGTGACCCAGCTATGTGGGGTGGTGCAAACAAGCCCTGCTCCATGTGCCAGTGAAGGGAAGGGAGGAGGGCGCTGGTCATCTTCAAGCCCAGTGGGGAGATGGGGGACAGACCAGTTTTGTCCTGGGCACCAGGCCAGGTTCTTCCAGCTTGCTGATGACAGTGGTGGGCTCAGGACTTGCCCTGCTGGAAAGTGGTCTCCTCCCATCCTGGGCCCTGCCTGAAACCCGGCTTGAGGCTCAGGAGCACCCTCAGGTAGGGCCATCCAGCAGTGAGGCTCAGGCCTCCCCGAGACCCCGTCCTACCCTGTCCTAGTCAGGGCTACTGGGCGAGTGCTTGGCAGGGTCATCCTGCAGCCCCTCCTTCAGCGCCTTCCTCCTTCCTGCAGGGACCTGCCCAGGCCAGGAACGGCGCGTACCCGGATCCACTCCGGATGCTGGCGAGGATCTGGCTCGAGGCTCGTCATGGCAGAACTGGGGGCTAGTTCCTGGGTCCGTAGCCACGGGCCAGGGCCTGAGCTGCGGGCGCTCTGGTGGCTCCATGGCGGGGGCGGGGGGTGCCCTTGGACACCAGGGAGTGGCCCAAAGTGCAGACCTAACGGCTCCTCGTTTGGCTCCCATGTGCCTGACGCTTCTGAGGGTCCTCTTCAAACCTCATCATCCTGTCCGGCCTGTCCCGAGCTGGCCTCCAGGTGGCCCTGGGAGCGGACATGTGTGGAGCCACTCTTGTCCTCCATGATGAAGAGCATCTTGCTGGCTTGCCACATCCCTGCCACAGGGGAAGACATCCACTTTTCTGAAGGGATCAAGAAGTTGGTCCCTGGGGCACACTCATCCCCCTCACTGCACCTGGCACATCTGAGCACCAGCCAGCTGCCTGGGGACCACAGCAGAGCAGCTTGTCCCCTCAGAGCCCAGCTTGGTGTCATCTGCCACCACAAAGCCTCTCTGGCCAGCCCAGGCCCAGCGCACGGGGCCCTTCCCCGTCGGCCTTCCTCCTGGACCGAGGCCCACAGGCTATTTACATAAATACGTTTGTAACAGACACGAAAATATATACTTTTTTCGGTCTTATTAAAATGTTCAAGTTGGAACTCGCCTATTGTTTGTGGATATCTTGATTCTGTTAAATAAAACAGTGACTAATTTATGGAATAAAACACAAGTTCAACAAATTAAAACCATTATTGGAGCTTTGTAGGCCCCGGTGGGCACATGGCCTCCCATGGGGCCTTAAGGAGGCAGGGAGCCAAGTCCCAGCCTCTGCTGGCAGGGGGACTGGGGGGTGGCGTGGCCACAGGGCTCCCCCTGGGCACCAAAGCAGTGGGCAGCAGAGAGTGGGGGCAGGTCTTGGACTCCTGGAAGCTAGAGCCTCGAAGCAATTTGATGGTCTTGACTCGGCCCCCAGACTACACCCTGTTCCCAGATCGACTGGGCCTGGATGGATTTTGGCAGATCCACACACCCTGGAAATAGGAGGTAAGACCAGCTGCCCAGCCAGCCTCCTGACAGGATCCAGGGAAGGGGCACTGGGTCTCACAGCACCACTCCAGAAAGACCAGGGAACCAACAGGCTGTTGCTCCTAGAGGGCAGAAAGAAGGGCCCACCCACCTGCACCCACTCGGCCAGTGGGGAGCCCGCTGCTGCAGGTGGCACCGCTCCCTGCTGGGCAGCAGGCAGTGGGCAGGGGCCCAGGAAGCTGCCCGTGGCTTGCTGGACCCAGTAGGAAATGCAGTCGGGCATGTTTTCCCTCTGGGATTTAATCAGCTCTGGTGGTGTGCAGTCAACACCCAAACTGGGGCACATTCAGGAGCTCTGGAACCTCCTGGCGAGAGCCAGAACCAGCTGCACAGGCTCCTAGCTGAGCATGGTGGCCTGCCCCTCCCCAGTGTGGTCCTTGGAGCAGGTCTGGCCCCAGCCCAGAGAGTGGCAGGCCACTGAGCAAGGCAGGTTGTCTATTACTGTTCTGAGGGTCAGACCTGGCCCCACAGGTGGCCTTGGCCCAGGGCCAGGGCCCAGGGTAGGAAGAAAACACACTGCCCCAGCCTGGATCAGACCTCCAAGAAGCAGGACCGGCCACAGCGCCCCTGGAAAGCTCTGGAATCTGGGGCCTTGCCAGAAACAAAGAGAAGCCAGGCCTGTGCCATCCTTCCTGGGAGGAACTGCCCTACCCTCTGGGGCAGATCAGACAGGAAGTGGCTCCAAAGGCCCCCAGCAAGGGCCGGAGGCAGAGGACAGCTGATGTGGCCATCGCTGGCTGCTTGATGTCCCCTAGGCCCACAGCCCACACCTGGAGGGAGACCCCAGTTCCCTACCAAAGACTCTCCATAAACTTGTGCCGAAATTTCCAGCTGGGGCTACTGGTGTTCACCAGGGGACCCAGCATCCGCCACTATGAAGACGTCCTTCCTGGCAGCACTGGCCATGGAGAAAGAAAGGCTCAGGCCACTCGCGATGAAGCCGTAACAAGCCCTGGCTGCTGGGAGGGGGAGGACTCACAGGTGCTCCTTCACGCTTCAGGTCAAATCACCCCAAACGCTGGCTGAGATTTCAAACTCATTTTGATAAGAAAGAGTGTCAAGAGCAGTGGCCTGGTGTGGCAGGTGCAGGGCGGTGCCCGTGGAGGCCGGCGGCTCCTGCCTGGGCCTGGCCCTGTTTCTAGACATTCTCCTTGGCCAGGAGGCCACTGGCCCCAGGGTAAGACACACCTGCACTGAGCAGGGACAGAAGAGTGGCTTTGCTCTTCCTGTTGGAAAGGAGGGTCAGGCCCGTGGGGTGGCCAGGGCCTGGTGCCCGCCCCAGGTGGATGCTTCACCTGAGGGGTCTCACAGGCACCTCTGCACTGCCCCACGCCCCCTCCCTCTTCTCTGCAAGCAGATGGCGCCAGCATGGGCTTTGGGAGGGGGGCAGGGCGGGGGTGTGAGGACCCAGAGGACAGGCAGTCCGCCCACTGTTCAGGACAGACAAGCGCACAGCTCTGAGGAGAGCTTCTGTTTTTATTTTAAAACAAATTACGAGACCCACCACACAGCACAGCAAAACCGGAGGGGTGGGAGGGGACTCTCCTTCCCTGCCCGTCCACTGGCCGTCCTCATCAGCGGACATGTACTTCCGCAAAAGGAAAAAGGTCAACACTTGTGGACACAAATTTGGTAGCCCCTTCCCCCAACTCAGAACGCCCCCTTTTCCCACCCAAGAGGTCCCGGGACACGGGCCGCAGATGGTCACCCCAGGAGCTGAGATTTCCATGGGCGACTACCTGCTCTGGGCCTGGCCTGGGGCCTCCCTGCAGGAGGGTCAGGCCCGCGCAAGCCCCTAGGATGCTCCCGGCCTGGCCTCCTCTTTGGGTGGCTCGAAAGCCAAAGGAGGGCCCCTGTCCTTCCCCAAAATGCCCCTGTCCAAGGGAGTCCCACAAGTCACCCAGTGCTAGGGAGACCCCGGAGTCGGAGGGGAGCCTGTTGGGGGGGTCAGGACAGCTGGCCCGTGGCCTCCAGGCACTGGGCTAGTCTGTTCCTAACGGCGCTTTATAAAAAGACGTTGTAATTGAGTTTAATAATCTACTCCCTTCCAGAGAGGGCCTGACAGGCGCTGCCTGCTGCTCACTTCTGCCCCATTCCAAATATTTTTACCTTATTTGGATGAAATGCATTATTTTTCTAATGAAAGGCTTTTTTTCCGCAGGGCCGTCCGCCCTGGTCCAGCAACAGCCTTTATTAGGCAGCACTTGTGCGTTTTGGGGAGGGGTTTTCCTCTCCCTGAAGTCATGCCAGACTCTCTGTCCTCAAAAGCAGAACTCGGCGCTCAGGACCTGAGGGGCAAAGGCCTGGGGCCCCAGGTTCTCACCCCTTCTCCTCCCTGCTTGAGCTGGGGACTTTCCCTCCTGCTGACCCCTGGGCTAGGAATACGTGCCCTGAGGTGGCCCTGCAGCCCCCACCTCAGGAACGGTGAAGCCCAGGACCCCTCTTTCAGGGCCCAGGTCTTGAGGGGGAGGGATCGCGAGGTCCTGGTCGCGGCCAGCGCCTCCCCTGCCTCGACCTTCCCCTGGACACCTGCTCTTTGGTCTCACTAGGAGGGACCCTGGAAGTTTAACAACTATGACAAATGGTGACCAAACCCGGGGGGGTCCTGTCTGCTCAACAGCCATGTCCCCACTCACCATGGAGGGACAGCAGCACAGCAGCCAGAGGGGGAAGGCCCGGCATCAGCTGCCCCGGCGGGGCCACGCCCTGCCCTCTGCTGGAGCAGCCAAGGTCAGTCGGCCTGGCCACCAAGGCTGGGACTCCTTGGGTCCCTGAGAACACAGGGTCCCCTCTCAGGCAGGCTGGTCACCCCAGAGCTGAGATTCTCAGGGATGCAAGGAGGCAGGGGACGAAGCAAGAGGACAAGTGCAGGGATGGCTCTCACCAGGCTTTGCAGGTCCCTAAGGGTCACATGGCTGGGGAAACAGACCTGAGGAGTGTCACCTGAGGTGATGAGGACAGAGGACAAGCCTGCCCCCCCTCCCCCCGCCCCCCCGGGCCAGACAGGCAGGGCCACTTGCTGCCTCGGTGGGCCCCACAGCAGGGCTGTGACCTCTCTCTTCTGGAATAAAACTGCCCTGAGGCCAAGTCCCTCAGTCTGGCCAGGGCCTGGGAGGCCACTGGGGGAGCTTGCACCCCGCTGTGGCCACCTGCAGTGGTGGCCAGGGCCTGTGCCATTTCTGGGCTGTGTCCACAGGAGGCCCAGACAGGGCAGTGCCAGCAGTCCCAGGCCCGGCCCAGGCGGACTTGAGGAGCGCGGAGCGGCCCTTGGCAGGAGCTGCTGGCTCAGGTTTGCGCTCCATGCTCTGTGAAGGTTAGAGGGAGGCAGGGAGGGCGCGGAGACGAGGCAGAGGACACCCGCTCCTGGGAACGCGCGTCCATTTAAGGAAGAAGCTCACCATGCTCACACCAGGTCTGCGCCCAGCCAAGGAGGCCCTGCGGCTCCCAGGACGTCGTCCCTGCGGCCTGCACAGGAAGGACTCCTGCAGTTCCGGGTAAGCAGCCCTGGGGAAGGCCCCGGGGTCGGGGGACAGAGGCTGCCCAGGCCCCTCGCCCTCCCCACGTCCCTCTGGCCCTTCTTGGGGCTCAGCTGGGGTGCTTCTGAGCAGTCCTCAGGGGGCACAAAGGGCCCTCAGCAGACAGGGAGCCACAGGCAGGAGTTAAATAGTGGCAACTCGTATTTATTACAATTATATACAATCATATCTTATATTCTGAAATCTATACATGATGACACAAATGAACATGTTCCTTGGTGGGAAGGACAGACATGGCTGTTGGTCAGGAAGGCTCTGCCGCCTGGCCCTGCCGTGGAGCGAAAATCACATCTCCCCACGGGATCAGCTGAACCACGACACAGCCGGCGAGGACGGTCTGAAGCGCAGTGTGATTTCATTTGTTGGAGAGGATGCCAGGGCGTGTGGGCTGGGGGTGGGGACAGGTGCCCACCTGTCAGGCAGGGCCCGGCTGTGGGGAGGCTGGCCCTGGCAGGCTGTTGCTGAGGGGGAATGGGTCCAGGGCTCTGGCTTCTGGAAACAGCGCGAAGAGTGAGCCATGGGCCAGGCCTAGAGGACAGAGCAGGGACAGCAGAGACCAAGGGGACTGTGGCTCCTCCCCACTGGGAGAAGGCAGGTAACCACATGAGCTCTTGCCATGCACGGTGTCAGCTCAGTCCAGACGCTCAGCCGGCCAGCACCCCGAGGAGACACTGTCGGGGGTGGGGCTCCGAGGCTTGGTGTCCTCGGTCTGGCTGTGAGGAAGGCAAAGCCACCTGCTTGGGCTGAGCTGAGTGGGGTGTGGGCTGGGCCTGGGATGCTGCTCAGGTGAGACGCAGATGTGGACAGAAACGGGAGCCTCACGCTCTGCAGCCAAGCACAGCTCTGCCCAGACCTTGGCTTGAGGCCATCCCCGCCCAGAGCCAGAGCCAGAGCCCAGAGCCCACAGCTGGACGGTGTCCCTGGGAGAGGCCCTAGTCCCGCTCATTCTCGTTGCTGGCACCCTCGGGCCGCCGCAGCTTCTCCACCTGCTCGTTGATCTGCCCGTCCCCACCTCTGCGGTCCTCCCTCTGCACCCCCAGGACGTCCTCCTCATCCACGTGGCTCACATCGTCGTCCTCCTCGTCCTCCTCGTCCTCCTTGTCCTCCCTCTTCTCTTCCTCGCCCTGCACCTCCATCCTCACCTGGCCCTTCACGTCCACCACGCCCTCGCCTTCCTCCGGGGGGCCTAGCAGGTGGTAGGTGGCCGTGGAGCCCTCGGGACTGTGGCTCTCCTTCCCAGGCGAGGGGGACGTGGACTCGTTGCTGACTGGCGAGATGTCACTGCTGCTGTGGTGGTTCACGGCTGCAGGGCTGGAGGGTGACGGCGATTTGACTGGAATCTGCCAGGAGGGGATCTTCGGGGCTGACGGGGATGGCGGGAACTGTCTCCTGGCAGGGGAGAGCAGGGGGCCAGGCCGAGGTTGGTGACCCCAGCTGGGGCTTCCCATCACAGCCCCTCCTTCACTGACCCCCGAGAGCCATGATGGGAACGGTGCCCCCAGAGATACCCAGCAGGGGACCAGAGAACAAACCTCTTGGCCCAACGGAGGCTGCATCAGCTAAGAAGGGTGCCAGAGCCCTTGCGCTGCCCACAGGATGCCCGGCTGCACTGGGGGCTCTGGGGCCTCCCCTGCCTAGAGTGAGGCTGTCGAGCTCCTGACCCAGCAGTGCCCTGCCTCCACCCCAGAGGCAGCAAAGGAAGGACGCAGGCGCTGCAAGGGCTCGGGACACACCGACCTCGACACTAACTTGTCTATGGCCTGGGCAGAAGGTGGCCACTGGCCGAGGCTCAGACATCAGCATCAAGAGGTAACTTGGTGCATGTTGGTAGAAAGCCTCTGAGCCCAAGTGACAGGGAACAGACAGGTTTCCCTTTCTGCTTCCGTGTTCCCTTCTAGGCCCTGGGCCAGCAGCCAGCCCAGACCAAATCCCATTCCAGGGGGGACCCGGGAGGCCAGGCCTGCTTGGCAACTGCTTGGAAGTGAAGATCTGTGACTTGTAGGCCCATCCCTGTAGGGACCCATGGGACAAAGCCCTGTTCCCACTCTGGGCAGCCAGCACTGGCCGCAGAAACAGCCTCCACCTCAGGGGCGCACACCCCAGCCTTCACTAGCCTCAGCGGCACAAAGCCAGTGAGGAACTCCACCTGCTCAAAGTTCCCCAACTGCCTGGTCTCTCCACCACCAAGGTCAGGAAAGATCTCTTTTACTAATCACCTTCGGGCCCCCGGGCCCCTCACCTGTTCTGAGGACATGTTCTCTTCCTCAGGGAACACAGGGCGGGCGTGTTTGAAAATGAGGTCTCTGGCTACCCAATCCCTACACCCTCCATCCCTGATCTCTATGAAGGTCCCACATTGGGTGCCACTGAACCCCAAGTCCAGCGGAGGAAGGACGGCATCCAGACAAGGGCTGCCAGGGTGCCGCTTGTGTGGGATGACCACTCTTCCTGGTTTCCCAGGACAAAGAGGCTCCTGGGACACTGGACTTCCAGCTTTAAGATCAGGTCAGGCCTGGGCAAACCAGGAAAAGCTGGTCACCTTACCATCAGGGCTGCCCTGTGGAGGGACAGCACAGGAATACCAGGGAAGGTGGAGGGAGGTGAGGACTGTTCTGCCTGTGGAGAGCTCCTCGAACTAAGTGGCCCTCACTGGGACTTTCTCTGGGCAAAGCTGTCACTGAGGTTGTCTGGGCTCAGGAAGCGGGAGGGGTAGCCTGCCTCTAGGAGCCCCTGCTTCAGGAGGAACCCAGCGGGAGTGCCCACTGCTCCTCGCCTGAGAGGTCCAGAGAGCCGCTGCTATTTCAAAACTGTTGTGGGTGCCGCCGACTGTCAGCCTGGAGGGAGAAGGGCTCTGGGGAGGGAAGCAGAAGCTCCCAGGTCTCCGCACTCAGTGCCAGAATCCCACAGCTCAGTCAGAAGCTGCCTGGGGAGCCCTGGGGGAGCCCTGAGCTCCCCACCGCTGCGAGGCCAGCCCAGGAGGTCTCTCCTGCTTGCTGTCCCAAGCAGGGACCTAGATAAGGTGGAACCTGAGCCTTCTCGCCTACCGATTTAAAAGAAGCCCTTTTAAGGAGTTAATTTCCGACTTGAGTTCGTTGATATTCTGGGACTCCAGGATCCAGTTGGTGGATGTGGTGGCCTGAAAGTCAAGACACAGGAGATGCAGGTCAGAGTGGCACCCCCATGCCACCCGAGTGGGCAAGGTGTGGCTTAGGAGCACCCTGAAGGCAATAGCAGCTGGCACATTTTATCTGGCCACAGCCTGGCGATCCTGCGTGAAGGGCCTGGCACTGCCGGAGGCGACTCCCTTCAAAACCACACTCCCTGGGCTCTGGGTGTCTAAGGGCACAGGACAGGCAGCACCGTGGTACTGTGGGTTTGTAAAGTGACGTGATGCGTGAGCTCTCATCTTTCAGGGAGACTCGCTGTGGTATCTGAAAGGAGGGGTGACACCTGGAGGACGGGCAGGAGTCTGCTGGAGTGAGCAATGCCCTCCCTTCTGTGTTTGAAATGCTCATTAAAACAAAAGAACAATAAAAACTAAATCCCACTCCTTCCAAAAGAAATGCCCCTTGGAAGTGAGCAAGGGGCTCAGCCGGGGTGGCCTCAAAACTGGTGTTCCTGAGCCTGGAAGCCACACCGGGCATCAGAGAGGCTGGGGCACCTCAACCCTTGCGGGCCACTCCTACAGCCTGGAGGACAGGCTTCACCACATGCTGGGCTGCTTGGAGCTGCTGGGGACCTCCTGCTCCTGCTAGGTGATGTCTGGTCTCTAGAGGGCCCTGGGGGCCAGAGGACATCCCAGGACTGCTCCTCCCTGTCTGCAAAGCCACCTGCAGGTCATGCTACCCAATCACATCCCTTCTTTGGGATGACTCTGGTTGCAGAGCAGAGAAGAGAACAGCCCCTGGGCTCTGAGCTGCCCTTCCCCAGGGCCAGGACAGAACCTCCTTCACACAGGGCTGCTGCACATGGCTTTTGGCAAATCCTGTCAGGACAGATGGACAAGAGGAGAGCCAATCCCACCACCCCGCATGGGAGCTGCGGGTGGCCAAGCCGCCGGGGTGAGTGTGTTGGGTATACAGTGGTTCACCCCGGCCAGGAGGCCTCAGCTCAAGTGCCTGCCTCCCTGAGCCGGAGGCTGCCTCCAGATGGGGTGAGCCTGGCTCTTTCCCCAATGCACAGTGGCGACTGCAGGCCCACCCAGCTGAGGCCGCCCAGGGGGAAGGAAACCTGCAGTCCAGGAGAATGCGGGCCCATGTCTGCCACCCTCACACACAACCCTGCAGGGTCCCCACTCCAGATCAGCAGATGACGAGGGCACAGAAGCTGCTGATGAGCTCCTCCGCGCCCTGGAAGCTACAGCAGCCCATCAAGCAGGAGAGACTTCCACTCCCGGCCTGCACAGGACTCCGATTACCAAACGCATGTGCTGCCAGATGCCAGGATTCAGAAATAAAATCTGACATCTGGGGCTTTTTAGCCAATCTCTTTAAAAAACAGTTGTCGAAAACTCGCAGCCTTCAGTTTTATGTAGGTTTTTTTAATTACTTAAAGCTCTTCTTTTTAATTTTTTACAGTGCTCCAGTAGGAGTTTGGAAGCCAGATATAAAAACTTACATCACAGCTGAGAAAACACAGCTCTGAGTCTTTGGTTTATGGGGTAACCAAAGTCCTCACATGTGTTTAGATGCCAGGCTGGAGAACCCCACTTCATCACCAAGAGGGGGACAGAAGCCTGGAGGGGGAGGGGCTTGAGAACAGCAAGCGGAGGAGTTCTATGGGGCCATCTCAGCCACCAGGAAAAGCCCACCCCACCCGCCTTCAAATTCAACACGTGGTCTTAATCGTAATGTTTAAGGTCTGAAAGCAATTTCCCAGTTTCCAGAATGGCTGCTGGCCACTGACAGGCCACTGATCCAAAAGATAACCAAGTGGGGTGAAGGCTGCTGCCACAGGGACCCACAGGGGCTGCAGCCACCTGAGGAGGGGGTGAGGCAACACCTGGGTGTGGGAGAGACATCGGGAGGGGGTTCTTGGGTCTTCACAAGAGGCACCTCAGACTCTATCAGAAGCAGGAAGTGATCCACTTTCCTGGTTTTGCAATCTAGTGCATTGAAGGTGTCTTCCCTTAGCAGAACAGACTGGGTAAAATCCTTTAGAGGACATTATGGAGCCACGGGACCACTGTCTCCTGGGCCCTGTCTGCCTAAGCCATGATGATGCTATCATACACCCATGAAAACCAGGGCCTGCAACCCTGAGACCTGACCAAAGTCAGGCAACATTCTAAGCACATCCACAATCCAGCAAAGCAGGAACCATCATAGCTCCATTATATACATGAGGAAGACTCAGAGAAGTTAAGTAACTTGCCTGTGGTCCCACAGCTAGCAAGTAGGAAAGTGAGGATTCTAACCCAGCAGATGGATCCCTCAGTCTGATACTGCCCAGACTGCTGCAGATTTGGGCAATAAGGCATGGAAAACTTCCTCAGTCGATCCTGGGTGGTTCCCATTCCACTGGGATCACCCAAGCCCACGTACTTGAGGCAAGGTTAGCCCATGCACCTGGGGCGGGCACAGGGGTTGCTGGGAAACTGCACACTTCTCCCTTCTGTCCCCTCATATTCTCCCTGTGACTTGCAGCCCAACTACAGGCACCTACGATGATGGCGCCCAGAGCTGTGGGGGTGTGGCTGTCATCAGAGGTCACAGAGAAAAGGGCAGCTTTCTTCCCTCCTCCTGTTGGGAGGTGACAGGAAGGGTGGCCTCAATGGGTAACTGCCATCCAAGTGTACGGTGATGCCTCCCTTTTCCACAGGAAAGGTTAGACAGCAGATGGCAGGTGAAGGACATTCAGACCTTGGAAGACAACATTCAGACCTGGGGCACAAGGACCAGGGCGAAGAGCTGGACAGGACAGACAGGGCCTGGGGGAACCCAGGGCCCAGAGGTAAGTACCTTGGCGGTGGCGAGCTCGTGGGCCAGCTCCTGGACCTTCTGCTGCTGCTGCCTCAGCAGCTCCTGGACAGAGGCCAGTGTCGTCTGTACCTGAGTCACTGGGGAAGAGAGTGTGGCGTCTGGTGAGGTGGTGCCCACAGACTCTCTCCTCAGTCCCCATGCCTGTGGGCAGCCCCTATTCCTGCTTCGGTTCATTTATCTGCAGGCCCTGCCCCCTCACCTCCGATGACTCATCTGCGCCCTGGAAACCCACCTGCGCTGGACCTGCCCTCCGGATTTCCACTCTGTCTTTCTACTGTGTGCTTGTCCGTGGTCAACAGCACACCGGTCCAGCCTCTCCCTCTAATCACGCCCGGCTGCGCCATCCTGGCTCTCCCGGCCCCTCTCACTGCCTCACTCATCTCATGGGCCTAGCCGTGTCCTTGGGAGCTCAGGGCGTGTCCAGCCTGGGAAGGCCGAGGCTCAGGCTTCCGCCACATCCAGGAGGACTGAAACTGCAGACCCTGTCTCCAGTGCGCCTTCCTATCCTACTCCCACCCTGAGGCTGTCTGCCTAGACCCCACTGTCACATGGCCCCTGGGACCAGGTATCACCGCATCACCCTCCTAGGAGCAAATGCCAGTGTGACAGATACATGCTACAGACTTCTGAGGATTTCACGAAGGTGCCCCTGAGGGACATGGGCTACCCGGACAGGAGGCTCCCGCCTGCCTCGGGGTTTGAGATGCAGAGCTCCACCTGGTAAACAAGCTTATAACGGAGCAGAGCCACCTCTGGCGCGACAGGTCCCAGCTAATCTGGGCCATCGCTGGGGCAGCGGGTAATGAACGCCAGCCCTGTGGAGTCGATAACAGAGGAGGTGGCCGGGGTCCCAGGAGCCACAGTAATTACAGACTCTCCTGACCCTGCCGTGGACTCTTACAGGGAAGGGGGGAAATCAGTGAAAACCCCCCTGAAAACCTCATAGAAGCAGAAATTAAAAATGAACTTTACAGCCCTTAGAAAGGCTGTCATTTTATTCCCCTTATTAATATTCTGAGGTTGGGAGCCTTTCCGTAAAAACATAATTAATTGAGGCCGCGCCGACAGTAAACAAGCAATTTCAAATTAAACCGAAATGACGGCGGCTTCATTTGCAAATGTGAACAGATTCTCAGAGCAGATAAATGAAGTCACCACATAAAGTGGAGACGGAGGGAGAGGGGAGGGGCCGCGAAGGGGCTGCGTGGAGAAGGCTTTGAGGGGTGACTTGATGGAGTCATTAATCTTTACCTGTCTGGGCCACGCTGCCACTCAGCTCAGAGAGACTCGCCGCCATCCTCTCCAGCTGCTTCCTGTCCTCGCGGCCGCCCAGGATGAGGGGCAGCAGGTACTTCTGCAAGAAGCAGAGGGGCGGGAGCGGTGTGCACACAGGTACCTGACATCCGTCTCTCAAATCCCGCCACCCAACTTTCCCTCGTCCTCCCCAGGTTTGGGGAACCCTGGCACATCCATAAGCGAACAAAATACTTGAAAAAGTTACAAGACTGCGATTATAACCATCTAAAATTCTGTCTGAATAAGGACAAGGATCGGGAGAGAACAGGGATGAAGAAAGCCAGTGTGCATGTGCACATGCGTGTGCGCTGGGGACAGAACCCAGGGTCTGGCACCTGTCGGGCAAGCTCCACCACACAGCTGCAACCTGGCCCCAGGAAAACCAGTTTGGTCTGCTGTGACAGGAAACTTTTATTAGTGATGTCATATTTTCATGACAAAAACTTTAAATTCTACTTTAACAGTTGTAAGATGAAAATGTGGAAGGATATATAGGAAAACAATGCTGTCGGCAGCCTCCTGTTTCACCCTTCAAAACAAATTATTAAAATTAAATGAATAAAAACTTACTCAAGAAACTAAAGGGAAATCAGCTGCAGACTTCAGGGCCCTGGTTTTTAGTAGGGATGATACCGTGGTCTCCCGAGATCACTTGGTCTTTGCTAAACCAAGGCTGAATCCTCAGAAGCAGCCTCCTTCAGAGACAAACAACTCACTTCTCACAGGTACCCCAGGGGGTAAGCTGCACCTGGCGACTGTGATGCCACCAAATAAGAACCCTGAACACCCGGTCCTCTGAACACTGGAAGAAGGCCCTCGAGGGCATAGCTGGACACCCTGCTGCAAGGCTTGGAACAGGGGTGTGTGGAAGGGCGGAGGCAGGCAGCAGGCCACTGGACAGCAGGATGAGGCGAATGTCCTTCGACCCACAAGACAGGGGCCAGCACACGAGGACCCCTATTTGAGGGGAGCGAGACCCAGTGCAACTTGAAAAGGAGGGTGCTAGAGCTCACGCGGCGTGGGCCTGGCTGGGCCACACAAGGGTACTTTGTTTCTTAGTCTATTTGGGCCCCAGATGGGGAAAAAAGATGGAAACTTCTCCATTAAGGCTTCTGTATGGGGAAGGAGAAGGCCCTTCACAGGGGGTTTGTGGGAGAGCTTATTTCAGGAGTGACTCCTAAGTGAAGACCATCATTCAGCTTAAGTGTAGAAGCATTTTCTATTTTGCAAAGTGCTTTTCAGCCACCCTGTGAGTTATTACTCACAACTGAGCTAAAACTCATCAAATGTAGTCTGACGTTGCAGGTGGAAAATTCCCTAAGTATAAAAGTCAAGAAACTCTCACACATGTAAACAACTATGGGCTCCATTTCTGAGGTCAGAAGTGACAAGAGGCACATGCCCTGTTCGGCCTAAGTCTTATGCATGTGTGCAGCAAGAGGGTGGCTTTTTCCCACTTTCTTTTTTCTTCTTTTAATTTTTTAAAAAATATTTTTTAGTGTTAATGAACTTTTATTTTATTCATTTATGTATATGCGGTGCTGAGAATTGAACCCAGTGCCTCACACGTGTGAGGCAGGCACTCTACCACTGAGCCACAACCCCAGCCCCTCTTTTTTTAATTTAAAAAAACTATCAACAAATATTCTAGAAATTCTTTATTTTTTTCTTTTTTAGTACTGGGGATTGAATACAGAGGTGCTGTACCACTGAAACACATCCCCAGCGCTTTCTTTTGAATTTTGAGATTTCTTTTGAATTTTAAGTTGCTTAGGGCCTTGCTAAAATTATTGAGGCTGGCCTTGAACTTGCAACCCTCCTGCCTCAGCCTCCCACGTTGCTGGGATTATAGGTGTGTGCCACTGCACCCAGCTCTGTTCCACAAATTCTTCAGTCACCATTGTGACCGACATTTCAATGTCTTTCTTCTTTTATAAAGCAGGTGAGAGGGGCTGGAGCTATATAGCTCAGAGGCAGAAAGCTTGCCTAGCATGCGTGAGGCACTGGGTTTGATCCTCAGTACCTCATAAAAATAAACAAATAAAATAAAGGCATTCTGTCCACCTACAACTTAAAAAAAAAAATTTAAAAACCAAACCAAAAGAAAAAAAAAAAAAAACAAACAGGTGAGAGCCCCGAGCTCTGTGGAGACGGACAGCAGCCCTCTGGTGCACCTACACCAAGGGGCTGTGCTTCCTGCTCCTCTCAGGGCCTGCGCTGTGGCCTGTGGCCTGAGCCTGTGGGGCTCACAGGGCCGAGGCACTCATTGGAAAGCTGTGTGTTGTCATATTATCCTTCCTGGTGCCTAATCTGTGCCAGTGATTTGGAAGAAGCCGTCCACACACAAGAAACGGGTGGGTATCCACTCAGAGGAGGGAGTCCTAGGATCCAGAACATTTTGCTTCCAGATTTTTAAAAATTGATTAATCTATTTGACAGCAGAATGCATTTGACACACTGTACACAAATGGAGCACAACTTCTCCTTCCTCTGGCTGTCCACGGTGCAGAGTCACTCCTCCAGTGTAATCGTGCATATATACATGGTAATAATGTCTGTCTCCTTTTACTGTCCTTCCCAGCCCCACAACTCCACTCCTCTCCTCTCACTCCCCCCTACACAAACCAAAGTTCCTTCGTTCTTCTCTATCCCCCCACCCCCACTATGAATCAGCATGTGCTTATCAGAGAAAACATTCAGCTCTCATTTTTTGGGGGATTGGCTTATTTCATTTAGCATGATATTCTCTAGTTCCATCCATTTACCTGCAAATGTTATCATCTCATTCTTCTTTAAGGCTGAGTAATATTCCATTGTATATATGTACCACATTTTCTTTATCCATTCATCTGTTGAAGGCATTTAGGTTGGTTCCATAGTTAAGCTACTGTGAACTGAGCTGCTATAAACATTAATGTGCCTGAGTCACTACAGTAGGCTGATTTTAAGTCCTTTGGGTATAAACCAAGGAGTGGGATAGGTGGGTCAAATGGTGGATCCATTCCAAGTTTTCTGAGGAATCTTCATATGGCTTTTCCATAGTGCTTGCACCAATTTGCAGTACCACCAACTATGTAGCATACCTTTTCCCCCACACCCTCACCAACACTTATTATTGTTTGTATTCTTGACAGCTGCCATTCTGACTGGAGTGAGATGAAATCTTAGAGTAGTTTTGATTTGCATGTCTCTAATTGCTAGAGATGATGAACATTTTTTCATATGTTTGTTGATGGATTGTATTTCGTCTTCTCTAAAAGTGTCTGTGCAGTTTCTTAGCTGAACTGATTGGGTTATTCAGTTTGTTGTTTTTGTGTGTGTGTGTTAAGTTTTTGGAGTTCTTTATATATCCTGGAGACTAGTGTTCTATCTGAGGTGTGTGTGATAAAGATTTTTTCCCATTCTGTAGGCTCTCTCATCACGTTACTGATTGTTTCCTTTGCTAAGAAGTTGCTTCCGGATTTCTACATGGCAATTTCCAACTACAGCAACAGATGTTCCACTGAAAAAATGTTATTCTGCTATAACTCTGCCATTAGCTTTTGTATTAAGCCCCAAACTAAGAATCCCAGGATGCAAGGTTTAAATGTATTTCACTTGCTAAAAGTTACAATGGTGAGTCTGGAATTCATTCAGGCCCTGGGTGGCCTCCAGGTTGAGCAGATCTTGGACCTGAGACCCAACCTGGCTCTTCACCTTCTAGAAAAGATCCAAGGTGGGCCTTTTCACTGGTGTCAACAAAGTAAATGTTTGCTTGGTGCCTAGGTTCTGTGGTAAGCAATCAACTCTGCTTATGAGTCCTGAGGAATCCTACGTTATACATTCCCTGGAAGAGAAGGCAATCCCACGAACATGGCTACACTGAGGTTCCCCAACCTGGCTTTAAATACTAAGGTAGAACAACGGAGTTTGGGGTACTTCCAGTGAGTCAGCCGCTTGTCTCAGCACTTTCCTGTGCTCTTCATTACAATCTCACGAAGCAGGTACTGCAGCTGCTCCTCAATGATGAGGAGAGGGAGTCATGTCACAATGAAGCACTGGACATCAACAATGATGCAATACACCTCATCTCCCAGGCTACGTTCAACGTGCCTAAAACATGCACATCAGCTGACGGTGGGTAAAATCGTCTAACAGTCTCTCTTACAATAAGATGTTGACAATCTCGTGTGATTTACTGAATATTGCACTGAAGGTACACAGCAAGGGTTGCAATGGGTGTGCTTCTGCACCATTGTAAAGGTGACTATCGTAAGTTGGGGACCATCTGTTTTATCCTAATTTTACAGATGAGCCTGTGGTCAGTTTCTCAGGGCACAGCCAGGGTTTAACACAGGCAGATGGCCCCCAGCGTCCATGCTCTTAATTTATCCCTCACAAATTACACATCAGGCACCATTCTAAGTGCCCGACCCAGACTGCAAGGGACAGACCTCAAGGTCACCCTGTGAGTAGAGATTCAGGAGTGGAGCAGGAGAGGAGGGGCTTGCGCCTGCCAGGCCTGGGTGCGCATTCCCTCCTGCGCCTGCAGCACCCCGAGGACAGCACCTCTGTGCAGGAGGTAAACCAAGAGCTGGGAGAGGGGAGCTGACTGCCAGGGCAGCAGGTAGAGCACCTGTAGCCTCTGGGAAGACAACTTACCTTGTACAGCTGATGAAAGCCAAATGCAATTCCCGCCATGATGATGGCCAACGCACCATAATCTCGCCACCGGGAACCTACAGGGTCTGAGAGTGGGAGAAAGGAGGCAGAGTCAGGGGGGACACCCAGCATCCTTCCCTGGGGAGAGGCAAGTGTGTGACTCAGCAGATGGGCAAGTAGGGTACACAGCTGTGACTGTCAGAAGTATCAGTTCAGCTCTGTCCCCTTCTCTTCCCAGGCTTTCCGAACCATCCGCCTCACTGGGGACAGCAGAGACAGCTAGTCATCTGGCCTCAGCTGGGCAGAGGTGTGCAGCAGCAGTGAGCTGAGTGACCAGCATGGAGCCAGGGGGCAGGGCCCTGTGAGGATGGCGTGAACACACCCCGGTGTACAGAACCACATGTGCAGACGCCCTACTCCAGAGAAAGATCATCGAGGGCACCACAGACCAAGGTGACCTCCCTGCTCTGCTCTCACATGGAGCTGGGGAGAAAAGACAGAAGACACAAGTCTCTGAAGGACGGAGCAAGGCAACTTCACAGAGTGACAGAGCCTATCCAGGGCATGTGCCTGTGGGGGTAGCGGGGGGAAGAGACCAGGGGTCAGCAGGGTCTTGGAGGAGACCAAGACCTGTGGTTCTGGGGACAAGGGAAAAACAAGCATCAAGTAAGGAAAGTGGGTCAGTGTGGACCTGCTGAGCACCTGGGCCTCAGCAGGGGAGAAGAGATGCTCTGGTCAAAAGAACTGCAGGAAGAGTGTCCAGGAGAACACAGGGAGTCAAGTCTACCTGCGGGTGGGAAGGAAAAGACAGGGCCCAGGAGTCTGAACACCATTTCACCAGCAGGGGGGAGACACCGCAGGATCTGGGTGAGGGTGGTGATGGGATCTGCTCTAGGACAGCAGCGTGGGTGGCTGTGAGGACAAGGCACAAGTGGAGTCCCGGAAGCATGAAAGCTGGGGAGAGCTCTGCAGGGACACACAAAGGCAAAGAGGGTCTGGGATAGGACGGAGGCCAAGGAATGGAGTTGGGAGCCATCTCAGAAGAATTTGCTGCTGTTGTTGAGGAACTGGTTCCTGAACCAATTCCCTTTAGATCAACACCCCCCGGCCCCCGTTACCTGCAGCGTCCCTTTCAGTTACCTGTGGTCAACTGTAGTCCAAAAATAGTAAACGAACAATTCCAAAAAAACCCCCAATTCCCAAGATTTGAGTTGCATCCCATTCTGAGTAGCATGGTGAAACCTCAGCTGTCCCGCCCTGTCCCACCACTCTGTCCATCACAGCCATGCTGAATGTGCTACCTGCCCTTTAGTCACTTAGCCATCTCGGTTATCAGACGGCCGTCTCACGGTCACAGTGGTTACGTTCAAGTCACCCCCATGTAACTCAACAATGGCTCCAAAACATAAAAGCAGTGAGGCTGGCAATCTGGATATGCCAAAGAAAAACCTTTAGTGGCAAAAGTTCTCAATACAGAAAGAAAAATGATCATATGCTGAGCTTGCTAAAATCAATGGTACGACACAATTATTTTAAGAGAGAACACATTCAGATAATTTTTATTATAACATACTGTTATAATTGTGCTATTTCATTATTGTTCATCTTACTGTGCCTAACTTATAAATTAAACTTTATCATAGATATGAATGTATGGGGGAAAAACTGTATACAGAAGGTTCAGTCTTACCTACAGTTTCAGACGTCCACTGGGAGTCCTCCCCTATGGAAAAAGGGGGCCTAGCACATCCGAGTCCCCACAGCTCCCGAGGGACATCCCAGGTGCACAGGAGAGATCTCCCGACTGCACTCCCCTACACAGAGTTCACAAAGTGCTTTCATGATCTGATCCCATGAGGCACCACTGTCCACTCCAACGCCCTCAGCTATCTCTAGGCCACCTAGCAAACACCCTCCCTCCTCATAGGAGACTGTCATTAAAGGAGGGGTAGGGGCTACTGTTCTCAGAATGTTGGGTGGCATAGGCTTCATGCCAGCCATGAAATGAGCCTGCAGTGCCACTGGGAAGTTGACCAGAGGGCACCCCCATGCATGCTGCTGTGCTAGGGAAGCGGGGCCCTGAGTGATCTGAGAAAGGGTGAGAAAGGAAGAGAAACATCCCCAAACTCTAAGAGGGAGCACCACTGCCCGGCCAGCGCTGCCTGGAGACACTGAGTGCTTTTAGACACCTGAGTGCTTCTGCTTCTACCTCTCTCACCCGTGCTTGCCAGCTCTCAGAGGTTACCTGTCCCTCCTGGTGTTTGATGACCAAAGCAGAGGAACAGGACTCCTCTTTTAAGTTCAGTGGCAGGAGGTGAGTGCACAGGGAGGGAGGGTGGCCAGCATGCAGCCTAGCAGGGGGATTCGAGTCTCAGAGACCTTTAAGTGGGCAAGAGGGAAACCCCCTCCTCCCCGGGCCGCTGGGCTCTCAAGAGACAGAGGGGACAGACAAGAATCTCTCCTTAGCCACCACAGTCCCCTCTGTCCTCCACCTATGGATTCCACATGAGATTCCCCAACATGGCTCAGCCTCACCTTGTTACAAAACTGTAATCCACACGTGGCCTCTCCCAGCCCTCAACCCCCATTTTTTGTTTCCCCTCTTTGGTCAGGCAGCACACACGCCGCTTCAACGTCCAACAGCAGGAGCCAGAAAGGTCTACTGAGAAAGGTCTCCCTCTCTACCACCACCAGTCATGGAGAATGGTTTCTTGTTTATCCTTCCAGAGAGTTTGACACACATATAAGACAACACAGATGTGACTTGGTTTTCCTCTTTCCCACCTATTTTCCAATTTTCTTTTTTTCCTACAGCTCTATAATATTCTATTTAACCTGTTCCCTGCTGGGGGCACCTAACTCATCAGTGACTGTGCACACGTGTCAGCTCCCATATAAGACAAGACTTCTGTAAGCCTAAGACTTCCTAGGACATGGGTCAAAGGCATGGGCCTCTGTCATTTGAGAAATCCTACAAAATGGCCTCCATGGTGTTCAGCGGACTCATCCCATCAGCCACGCACCCGGTGCTGTTTCCCCACAGGCAGCCCGACAGTGTGTGTCGTCAAACACGCATTTCTGACAGTGGCAGAAGGAGAGCGGTGCTTCGCTCTGGTTCTAGCTTGCGTTGATCTTATTTTGAGTGAGGACCGGGCGTCTCTTCAACAGCATTTCCTTTCTGGTGTACTGTGTGTTCTCCACTTTTCTACTTGACTTCTCTCCCTCAGCACTTCTGTAATACAGCAGGGATGTTAGCCCTTTATGACACAAATCATAAACAGCTTCTGGTTCATATTTCTTTGGGTTCTTTCATGGCATGCTGGCATTTTTTGTGTTCATGTAAATTTATCAATCTACTTTTTTGTGCATGCTGGGGTTCGTGTTAAGGACAATCTCTAATCCCTTTCTAGGCTATGTGACACCAGCAAGGTATTCAAGTCTGAGAATCCATCTTGGAAAGTGGAGAGTGTGGCTTCGCCCTGTTGCAGACATCCCCACGCCACACAAACCACTTCTTGTTAAACAGGAAGCTCTGAGACCTCAGAGGTAGACTATCTTTCACCCTGACCCTAAGACCTGGGCCTTGGAGTCCCACTCGGATCTTTACTTCGTCGTCTGCTTTCTCTTCTAGCCAGCTTTGCTGTGCGCCAGATGCAAAATTCAACATCTGGTACCAGTTCATTTTCAGGAGGAAAAAGGGCAGAGTGGCCTTGCCATCCCTAGAGAAAGCCACACTTGGGAGGGCTTTAATCCACACCCAGGATGTCCATCATGTGGCCAAAAGCCTCAGAAAGAACCCCTTCCCATGGGGCTTGCATTCAGTAATCATGCACCACTGACTCTCAGGTACCCTCTAAATAACAAGAAATTAGCTGGAACCAGGTTAAAAACTTGATCAGAGGGGCTGGGGATATAGCTCAGTTGGTAGAGTGCTTCTCTTGTAAGCCCAAGGCCCTGAGTTCAATCCCCAGCATCAAAACAAAACAAAACAAAAAAATTTGGACCAGAAGCCCAAGTTTGCTAGATGCTTCTGCTGCTTTGCAAACATATCCACTGCACCTCACGCAGTGCAGCCTTCTCCTGGGGACTCTGAGCTGCCAAGGCTGAGCAGACACTGCATCTTGGGGAGCCAGGAGCTGGGGCCCCTGCACACCTGCCTACCTCGTCAGAGCTCTGCCCTCCCCAGGCCCGAGAAACACCTGTGGTTCCTGCAGCTCACCCTTCACCCCTCACTGCTGCTCCGTTCCTGCTGGGCTCACGTTAAGAACATTTTATTGCCCCCTGGTTTTCATTATTAATGAAAAGGGACCAGAATGATCTTTCCTAAAGTTCAGAGAGTCTATAAAGACAAGAAGCTGAAATGCCATTTTACTCGTTTTGGAGATGTGTGATACAATTCCTTCTTGTGGCAAAATGAAGAAAGAGGAAAGACCTGGATGGAAATGACTCTTACCCATTGTGTGGCTTCCAAGGGCAACAGACCAGGGCCACTGCAAATTACTCTGGTGGCCCCAAACCAGCTCACACCCCAGCCCAGCACCTGGATTCCTGTCCCTGCGCACTCTGGGGCCAGTATTTCCCAAGTCCAGTGCAGACCCTGCACAGAAGCCAAACCAAGGACTCCTGGGACAGCAGACTCTTCTGTCGCCCTGCTCCCAAAAGTCCAAGGGCATAATCTAGGGTCAGTCACTCTTCTGCTCCAGTTGGGAAGGAAGAGAAGTGGATTGAGTGAGTCCAGCATGCGCATGTATGTACGTGTATTACTGAGGACTGAACCCAGGGGTGCTTCTGCACTGAGCTACATCCCCATTCCCTACCCCACCCCTTTGTTTTTGAGACAGGGTCTCACTTAGTTGCTGAGGTTTACTTTAAACTTATGATCTTCCTGCCTCAGCCTTCCAAGCTGCTGGGATTACAGGTGTGTGCCACCGTGCCGGGCATAAATGAGCTTTTTAAAAGCTTCAGAGTCTCAGGCCTGATGTTGGCCAATCAGGCAGACCATGCAGAAAAGGGGTAAGAACCTGGGGTCAGAGGGCCCAGTGCCAATTCTCCAGCCAGATGGTTCCCTGATGTTTTTTTCTGCTTATGAAGCACAGACCACTTGACTGAAGGTGGCAGAGCTTTGCCAACCATGAAGAACCCAGGAACAATGACATCTCCTGTGTCTGCAGTGCTTCCCCTGAGGGCTCGATCAGCTGATGGGTAGAATGGCACAGCTCCTCTCCAATACCACTTCCTTGGTGTTTTCATGAAGGACAACGGACAGTCGACTCTGGTACCAAACGCTATCCTACACAGCAGAGAGTCACACCATGGGCTGCAACAAGATCAGGGGACAAAGTGCTGCGGGAAAGGGGCCTTCCTTCAATTTCCAGGGACTCCACGAAGCACCTTGAGCCCTGGCGGTCTCCATGGAGGTCTGCCCACCCCGAGGCTCAGGTTAGGTGGCCATGATGGTCAGTAGCTGTGTCAGGGGCAGGGGAGCTGCACCTCCGCTCCGTAACTATTCACTGGGGTGTATCAAAACCGACATGGCTCAATTTCTTTAACTATATCTCTTATCAATCAAAAAATTCTCATTAGCAGGGGAGACCTGACAAAATCAGCAAGAACACACTTGTGGGACAGGAACAATGCATCCAACGCAGCAGCACTGCGATGGCTGTTTTCTTTTCTTTCTTTTTTTTTTTAGTTGTAGATGGACACAATACTTTCATTTTACTTATTTATTTTTATGTGGTTCTGAGGATCAAACCCAGTGCTTCACACTTGTTAGGCAAGTGCTCTACCACTGAGCTACAACCCCAGCCCTATCTGGCTGATTTCTAACAAAGAGGTCAAGGTATTCTATGGGGAAAGGATAATCTCTGCAATAATTATGCTGAAACAACTGGCTATTCAGAGGGAAAAAAAATGAACCTTGATCCTCACAAATTAAATACAAAAATTAACACAAGATAGATCACACATGTAAACAAAAATCGAAAACTATAAAGATTCTATAAGAGGGCTGGGGTTATGGCTCAGCAGTAGAGTGCTCGCCTAGCACTGTTTGAGGCCCTGGGTTCGATCCTCAGCAGCACATAAAAAAAAATAAATAAAATAAAGGTACTGTGTATAACTACAAGTAAAAAAATAAACATTTTTTAAAAAAGATTCTATAAGAAAATACAGAAGGAAATCTTTGTAATCTTAGAGCAGGCAGATATCTTAAAATACAAAAAGCATGAACCATAAAAGGAAAAATGATAAAATAAACATCACTTAGATTTACAACTTTTGAAAATCAAAAGACACTGTCAAGACAATTAAAAGACAAGTCATAGAAAATATCTACCAAACATACCTGATAAAGGACTTATAAACTATAATATATAAAAAGTTCTGATAATTCAACAATAAAAAACAAGTTTTTTTTTTTGTTGTTGTTTAATGGGCAAAAGATTGTAAGAGACTTCACAAAGGATATAAAAATGACCAGTAAGAAAATGAAATATGCTTGACATCATTAGTCATTAGGGAAATGCAAATTAAAAGTACACTAAGGTTGTTTTACATACACGTTAGAATGCCTAAACTTCAAAACCAATGACCCCAGACTCTGGAAAGGATGGAGCAACTGATGCCGTCACATATTGCTGATAGGAATGCAAACCGGGACAGCCATTGGGAAAACAGTTTGACAGTTTCTTATAAAGTTAAATACAAACCTAACATGTGGCTAAGCCAGTCCACTCCTGGGTACTTACCCAAGAGAAAGGAAAGCAGATGTGCTCAAAGACTTGTACTCCAGTGTTCCCAGCAGCTTCCCCATGACAGCCGTCAGCTGGGAACAACCCAGATGACCACCAACTGATCAACAGACAAACCACCTGGCCAGCTGGTTGACTCCCACCTCGGCTTGCTTTTACATGGCCCTGAGCTAAGAAAGGACTGTAAGGAGAGGAGGAGGAAGAGGAAGGAGAGGAGGGAGAGAAGAGAAAGAGGAGGAAGAAGAAGAGGAGAATACGTGACACACACACATGTGGCTCATGACGTCTGGCCTGTTTGAAGAAAAAGTTTGCTGACCCCTGGATACAACTCAGCAATAAAAAGGAATGAACTATACACATATAAGTAGTTCATTCAACAGGGATCACGCTCAAAAACATCATGCTAAGAAACCAAACACAAAAGACTCCACGCTGGATGATTCCACCTGTATGAAGTTTGTAAAAAGGCAGAACCACAGCGACAGAGGCACAGGCTGAGTTAACAGAACCAGGGGTGGAGTGAAGGGCCTGAGATAAGGGGCACAAAGAAACTTTCCAGGGTAGTAGAAGTTTTCTACATTGTTATTTCGGGCTGATTATGTCAATTAAATGAAGTACAACTCATCCGTACAACTTATCAAATTATACATTTGAAATTGATGAATCTTATTTATGTAAGTTGAACTTCAAAAAAGCTGATTAGAGATAGGCATGTTGCTACACATCTGTGATACCTGCTGCTCAGGAGGCTGAGGCAGGAGATTTCCAAGTTCAAGGACAGCCTTAGCAACTTAGTGAGGACCTACCTGTCTCAAAATGAAAAATAAGAAGGGCTGGTGATGTAGCTCAGAGTCAAAATATCCTTTGTTTCCCAAGTACCTCCCCTTTGTCCCCATACACAGACAAACTATCAGGAAAAAAAAAAATCAAAGATCCAGAAATATAAACACTACTACATTCAGCAATTCCACTCCTAGACATCTACCCAGAAGGAAAGAACACATTTGCGCACACGAGACTTGCATACCAATGTTCTTAGTAGAGTTATCAGTGTTAGCCAAAACAGGAGACAGGGCTGGGTGTGGCTTAGGGTAGAGCACTAGCCTGGCATGGCTTGGCAAGGCCTGGCTCCATGCCCAGCTCCAGAATAAAAACAGAACAAACAGGAGCTGACCTATCTAGAGAACAGACAAGCAAAATGATGTGTGTCCCCACATGGAGTGCCATTCAGCAGTAATAGGAACAAAGTGCAGATCCTGCTATGACAAGGATGAACCCCAAATTCTTACATTAAGAAGCCAAAAACTTGGGGCTGGGGCTCAGCGGTAGAGCACTTGCCTGGCATGTGTGAGGCACTGGGTTCAATTCTCAACACCCCATATAGATAAATAAAATAAAGGTCTATCAACGACTAAAAAAAAAGAAGCCAAAAACTTATAATGACTCCATTTACCTGAAATGCCCAGAGAAGGTAACTTACTAGTGATGTGAAGTAGATTAGAGGTCACCTGAGGCTCAAGGCAGGAACAA